AAATATTAAAGTAACTTTTCAATAGAAAATTTGCCCAGACAGACTTAAAGAACGTACAGTAAATATATATTAATGAAACTTCGCCTTTAAAAACATAAATTGTGGAAAATTTTACGACCACTCTGTTTTATGTCATCAGTTATAGTGCAATTCATTCATGTCAATCGAAGCGAAATTTTTACGCTTCATAAATGGTGCCAAAAGCACCAGCTTGTCAAGGTTAAAAGGAGGAATAATGAAAAAATGTTGTAAGACTCTCGAACTTTATGTATTCATTATTCAAGTCCAATTGAGCTATGTGATGAAAAGATATAGAGCAGAATATAAAATTTAATTAAAAAGTCTGTGATTTAGCAAACACTGGTGTGATGTGAGGATATAATGTCGCGATGAAAGCACATAGGTAAAAAAAAAGAATTTTTAAACAAAATGTATACACTGACATTGTCTAATGATGATACGAGCGAGCCGAGGGTTTGTAATTCTGTTACGAAATGGCATGAAAATATAAACCAAAAGGGACACATAAACATTTTTAATCACGAATCACGACAACAAGCAAGCTGAAAACTGATTTAAGCTTGAGCTTTCGTGATTCTTTCCGAAATTTAAATGTACTAAAGTATGTACACAAATGAATAAAATTTATCCATCCATATAACTCGAATAATGAACGAGTTTTTAATTGAAAAACTTTTTTTTCGGAAAATTTTCTCTAAGCTGCACATATGCGTGTGGATAAGCTCAACATATGAAAGCTCAAAATCCCATTAGAATTGAGGTGTTCATATCAGTAGAATTTTATCAAATATTTGAATAAATTATACTCACATTACATTTAATGACAACTAAAAATTTAAATTAATAGTCGTTCATTTATGACACAAGTTGTGTGACACTTTAAAAACTTCCGCAAGTTTAGATGTCGTGTTGTTAACACTTTTCGATAATAATGGATTTTTATGTACATTTTGAGTCGATGACATGCAACAATTTATTTACAAAACTTCAATAAAACAGGGCTGTTGACCTAAATAATCAATTTTGAAATTTTTGTACTTTAACTAGTTACATTTCTTGATAACTTATAAAAGAAATCGAATTTGAAGGCTGATTCTGCTTTGATATATCATTCCGATAGACAAAAAAGCACTAAAAATTCATACATTTAAATACAGAACAGCGCAATTCTTGCAAGTATTAATAATTCAACATTCTTGTTCATTTATATTTTACTATGCTCCTTCTAGTTACTCGATGGATTATCGATTTTACAATTTACAAAATGCTCATTCATATTCATAATAAAGTAATTTTAAAGTAAATGCAATGCACTTGTTGAGCAGAGAGTGGGCGAGTGAGTGTTTTAGACGAAACATTAAAAGTAAAGAGATTGAACTTTTATGAAGTGAAAAACATTTTCATATTCAGCATTACTGCTTTTTGCATTTTCGAGAAGGTTTTTAAATCGTGGAAAAAGTTTTATTTTTTAATAAATAGTAAGTGCATCCTTCAACAGAGTTTATTATTATAGCTGTATAGATTTTACTATAGCAATTTTCTGAAGTTATCTTCATCCATAACTAACAGATTTAATATACTCAACGAGAGATAAAGCAAATAATAATGAAATTGTTAATTTTATTATTAAATTTTTAATTGGATTTATTTTCTTATAATTGAAACTAATGAGTCTATGCGAAAGCTTTTTGTATCCAAGAGCTTTTTTCAATTAACCGCATAGACTAAATGTGGTTCTTATCAAAAAAGGAATTTCTTTATTTAATTTAATTCAGTTTTGTACTGTTTAATTTTTTACTGAAAAATTCTTTTTGAAATTATTTTTTGATTAGAAACATTCTTATTTTGAGGTTGAAAACATCTGAGAAAATTATGAGCTTAAATGCGGCTTGCTAATTCTGTTGAGTTCTTCGAAGTTTGTTTCGTGAAATCTTTAAAATCTCTCAGCTTTAAAAGGGTAAAATATTTCCACCAGAGATATCAATAAAGGACATCGACTGCTATGTATGATACTAAGGACTATGGATCGAATTTTCATCAACTTTTTTTTGTTTGAAAAGTTTCGCGGCAAAACTTTGAAATTGTTATTTACGTTATAATTTTTTTATTTTATTGTTTTTACAATTTTAAATGCATTTGTAAAGATTGAAAACTCCTTAAATATATTGTATTCAAGTGGTTTTAGTTTTGTGAGGCTGTAAAATGGTTTTTTTGATTGATTAAAATTTTATCTTCCAATTCCAACAAACAAGTTTGTTTACAATTTATGACAAAAGTTTTCAATTGCAATTTTTTCATCTATTTTAAGCATAATTTAAGCTATGACAATTGCAAATCTTTTATTATCATTGAATAATTACAGCAACATGCTTAAATAGAACCAAAAATTACTTAAAATAGGAAATTTTGAGAATTTATGAAAAAATTATTTTCGAAGTTTCGTAACAACATCGAAAAAAATGCGAGAAATTTCAAAATATTTTTCAGTTTAACTGACAGCGTGCTATCCATAGTCCTTGGGTATGATATAATGTCATCTACAGGATAGATTTAAAATTCACAGCATTTGGACCTTTACTGAAAAATTCATATTTTTGTGCTGCTGGATATTTGATTTTTGTAGTCGCAAAATAAAGCAACAAATAAATGAATACCCATCAAGAAAATGCTTACCAGTTCTCATCCTCTAAATAATAAAATACATTTATTCATTTCTTGAACTTTTGTGTTCTCACAACATACCATCACGAAAAAGTTTCGCATCCGAATGGGAAAAATTCACCATAAAACACATTCTTATAGTATTTTTTAAATTCAAAATGACAGCTTTAATTTTTCTTAAAATATTGTTTGCACATTCTCATGTACTTTTTGCTAGCAGCACAGTTAACCTGGAGCAGATAAGCTCGCAAAATGTCAAACTCGAGTAAAAAACCTTTTTCGCACTGACAAAAAAAGTGAACATTTAGTCTTCTTCGTTCCATATTTTGTGACTTTATGATCATCAATTTAGTATAAAAGCTTTCAGGGCCTCTTACAGTGTAACAGTTGAAGTAAAAAGAATTTTCAAAGCCTCAAATAGAAATTGATGTCGGTTATCAAAAGCGCAAAAAAAGGGTCAGGGAAGAACTGCGAAGGTTCTTAATTGAAATTTATTGAAATTGTTTGCTGTTTTTGATGTTTCCACATTCATCGTTAACATCGTTTTCTGGAGAACTTTTCCATTATTCCTCATCCACATATCTTATAGGATTTTTTTTAGAAATGAGATGTTTTGAAATATTTATTTTTAAGGATACTTTAATGCTTGAGAATGAGGACATTAGAAAAAGAAAAAGCGAACAAAGCATGCAATAGAAACATTAAAATCTCTTTCTATGCTTGTTTATCAGGTAATGTTTCCAGGTGAATTATAGTAGCACATTTCAATATCTATATCTTCAAATATTTGCTTGTGGTAAACTTAACCTCAAAATGTCATATTCGTTGTATTTTATCTTCCAGATTTCGAACCATAATGTTCAGTCTTAAATAAAAATGATAACAGTCAGACGAAGAACAAATTGTAGTTTTCGTGAGTATTTGAAAAGTGCGATAAGAAGAAGCGCAGCAGGAAAATAATACCAAGAAAGAAGACACATTAAAAATGCCATTGAAGCAATTCCGTTAGTTTAAAGATTATTTTTATGTCAATTTTCTTTTCATCGGCTACTAAAATTCTGGCATCATGAAACATGCTGGATCTTCTTCCTCCTTAAAAATTATTTGCTTTTCTCACTTATTCATTCGTCTGCAATATGAAATGATTTACAAATCAACAACTTTTTCGTTCTCAAAATTCATGAGAATTTTTCGTCTTAACTTTTTCTCCGTTTTATTATAAAAAATAAATCTCTTTGGAATGCAAATATTTACATTCATAATATCTCTCAAATCTCCGCTATTTTTCGAACCTTTTCGTTTGAACTTTAAGCTTTTTTATAAATACTGAAGATACATCCTTTTTCTTTCTTTTATCTCTCATAAATTTCCATGAAGTAAGCTTCAACACTTTCCTTTTATATACATTTTTAATGTTTTATTCACAAAGATTAAAATGTTGTACCTTTATGCGCAAACTTTCATATTAAAACATGCTATTCACACATAAGACTTTAGTGTATCAATGTAGTTTGAAGAAGAAAAAAAATTGATTTTATTCTGACATTGTTCATGCTTGTGCTTTTTATGTGTTACTTTACACACAATAAAAAGTATAAAGAAGCTCTGAATGGGCTTTTATTGTTTGGATCATGCCTAGGGATTCTGAAGTTTAATTTTCTTGAAAAGATGCACTTTTGCTACGTATTTATTCTTAAAGCTTTATTCATAGACAACTTACAATGGAATTTAAAACTTACAATGGAACAATAAAGCGTTTGAAAATTTTACTAGAGTTCTATAGCAATTAATTGAATTCAAAAAATAAGTCTATCAAAAGTATTGGTGGAATTAGAATCTAGATGTTTTAGGATTTAAATACTGTGTCCCTGATACAGGGCTATTAAGTTCCCTGTTAATTCTTTATAATTGCCACTTAGTCACAGCTAATTTAAAAGCTTAAAAAATTAAATCAAAAAGTACCGAAAAATCCTTAAATAAACTTCACACCGAAAAATTATATCCATGCTACTCGAGTATACTCTAAGCGCATAAAGAGGCTCGACTTATTATCTAAGTCTGTCATCAACATAAAAAAAGAAAGGAAATTTTATTTGAGGTGTGTCTTAAATTTTGAATAGACAAGAGTTTTATTATATATTTGGACAATTTGGTAAATGGGGTGTGTGCATATGTCTGCGAATGAGTTCATTGATAAAAAGAATTTTCCATTGTGGAAATAAAAAATTTTATTGCTTCCCTTTTTTTCGCTTTAATTTCATTGCATTTGCTGAATGAATAATCAATTTTCATTTTTTTTATTCTATTTAAAAATATAGGAAACAGCCGAAAACGTTTGCATTCGATCATTGCTTCTATTCAACCGACATCAATGCCAATAATTTTGCTACACAAGAAAATGTATTCGATACTATCGGACGTGATATTTTGGATAATGCATTTCAGGGTTATAACGCATGCATCTTTGCATATGGACAAACAGGTGAGAATTTGAAAAAATTACCAATTTTCAGTCGAACTTTCAATATTTGTTTCTCAAACAATGGACATCCAATTCATGATTTTGAAACAAAAGCTACTTCCATACGTGGCTAGTGTAAATGAAGCTAGATTGACATATCCTAGTGGGAACAATTTCTGTTGTTTTACATCTTTCTAGCAGGCAATTTCTAATCTTTTGCTTTAGAAACAGTTTGATAAGGAACGACACAATGTGCAACCTACATTCATAAAATACATAATATTCAATACGAACTCGAAGTTCGATTTTGATTTGAATTACTGAAAACGAATGGAAGTCATTTATTTTTGCTACACAGATAACGAAGAAAGTGAGATCAGAATGTAGCAACAACATTCTTTTGAATGAGTCTAGTGGGACGCATTTTGTGTAGGTTGATCCTGTCTACGTAAGATTGAAGTTTTTTTTTTGATGAGATTTTCTTGTGCATTTTGAGGGGTTTATTGATGATGAATTTTTAAGGACTGTAGAAATATTTAAAGCTATAATTTTAAAGGTAAATTGATATGCAGGCTGTTTTATGGAATTACAACAGAAGCTTTCAACTGAAAAATTTCTATTGATCAACTTTATATCGTTTTAAATCTCAACCAGTCTGACATTTTAAACCCCAAAAATTCACCATTACATCAAAAGCAGCAATTGAAAATTTTCTAAAGTAACACATTAAGAACAATCGAACATAGGAAAAAAAGTTATTCAAGATTATTGAAAGAGAATCCTTTCCTACGTTTAAGGAATAATCAAAACGTGATCTGAATAATCATGTGATATTCAATATCATTGAATGTATGGACGAGAAGCATACATGTCGACATGAATTGTAGAAGAGAAAAAAAAAAGAAAGAAAATCGTGGCAACAAAAAAATATGCTGCTCGATGTTTCAATTGAGCTCTCGTCGAGTTCTCAAAGTTGTTGTTTAACATAAAACTTTTTTTGTTTTATCAAATAGCCTAATATAGAAGATAAATGTTCGGAAATGAATGGATGGCATTGAATTTAAGGAAAAGTATTAGAATAGATTGATAGAGCATTATTTATTTAAGTATATGTCGGTGCTTATACTTTATGAAAGGGCAAAAAAGGGTGTGATAAGACATAAATATCTCTAGTTGCACAGGAATGAAATGGTAGACTGTTGTGAAGATTAAGGGATGTTTGTCAACATAAAAACTGATTTTTTTTTATTCCGAGACGTTTTCTTGTTTGCTTCCTTTATGCGTGATAGTTATATCATATTCATGCAATATTATGAGACAGCAGGGATCAGATTCTCTTCTACATGATAGCTATCATTTTAGAATACTTTTGTGTTTCCATATACTTTTCCTATTCAATACATGTGTATGTTCAATTTACTGTCTCATTTATTATTGACGGCTTTTCAATTTTCGTTCTTCATCCATCTTTTGGTAGAGATTCCTTTACGTCGTCAAGATTTTATGAACAATTTTTCTATTCAGTTACACATCTATTAACCGCCTCATTGAGGAAAATAATGATTAATCAATAATTTATTGACCTGTTTCGTAGAATTAATATCGGAAAATTATTTCTATTGCACCCACGAACAGATGTAAATTATTATCATAATGATCATTGTGGTCGTTTTTAGACATTTTAAAATTCAGACTTCATTAATAATTTATTATGCGATTATCTCAATTTAATGCTACTGTCAATCAAAATTAATTTTCAGATTTGTTTTATCCACGGTTCAAAAGCATAGCGTAAACTCAAATTTGAAGCATGATACTTTTTATTGATTGCAAAAAAGCTGTTTCTGATTTTGCAGAATGTCTAAAAAAGTTTGTATATTTGAACTTGTCTGGCAGCAGCAGGACTAATTGTACTTAAAAGGATAAGTTTCTCAAATGAAATACAGTACAGATTATTTGTGTTACTCGGGAGTTGAAATATAAAGTAAAGATTTTTAAGGATTTATCGATTGAATCCCTACCAAAAACCTTTCAAATAACCTCGTATTGTTGATGTATTTACATTTCTTTAGAAGATATAAATTTAGAAGACAAGACGTGAAAGAAAAATGAAATAAAGAAAAGAAGAAAGATTATAATGAAAAATATGGAGGAAATTGAAGCAATTTGTTTTGCAACGTGGATGGTCGTCAAGTGAAATGGAAAATTATTTTTCCTTCTTGTTCGGTTGTTTTTCAAATGTCAAATTATCGATATTTACAATGAATGATTATCCAGAACCGTGAATTACTCATAAAAATTTCATTGTCGGCAAAAAAAAGATCAGAAGCGAGAAAATTTTCTCAATTTATTTTCATGTCATGGATTTTGCAGCAACTGATAATTTTCCCATAGAATTATGAGACAATGCTGGACAATAAGATTATTATTTCTAAACCGGATATTTTTTTTTCTCTTTATAGGCTCTGGAAAATCATATACAATGATGGGGACACTCGATCAGAAAGGTATCATTCCAAGATTATGTGATTCACTTTTTGCATCGATTGCAGAGAAGCAGACTGATGAATTATCCTTTAAAGTTGAAGTCTCATATATGGAAATTTATAATGAGAAGGTTCATGACTTATTAGATCCAAAGCCAAATAAACAGAGTCTTAAAGTGCGAGAGCATAATGTCTTAGGTCCATATGTCGACGGATTATCACAACTGGCTGTTGCCTCCTTCGAAGATATTGATAATCTTATGGGGGAGGGAAATAAATCCAGAACTGTCGCTGCAACAAATATGAATGCTGAATCCAGTAGATCTCATGCTGTTTTTACAATAGTCTTAACACAAACGCTTAAGGATACACTGTCCGGTGTGACGGGAGAGAAAGTGGCAAAAATGTCTTTAGTTGATTTAGCTGGAAGTGAACGCGCAGCAAAAACTGGTGCCGTAGGCGATAGACTTAAAGAAGGATCCAATATTAACAAGTAAGATTAATTATGCACAAGTTTTATGAGATCTTGTGTATTAGCTGCTTGCTAACAGCAACACGAGAGGATGAGATTAATTATTTAATTAATTTTATTGTGTCTCTTTCTTCTTCCTTTCTTTACTCTCATCCTTATTTTAATACGCAAAATGTAGATCCCTCACAACATTAGGTTTAGTAATATCAAAATTAGCAGATCAATCAAGTGGCGTCAAGAATCGCGATAAATTTGTTCCTTATAGAGATTCAGTCCTTACATGGCTTCTGAAAGACAATTTAGGTGGAAACTCAAAGACTGTTATGGTCGCAACAATTTCACCATCTGCTGACAATTATGAGGAAACATTATCAACATTAAGATATGCAGATAGAGCTAAGAGAATTGTCAACCATGCTGTAATTAATGAGGATCCAAATGCTCGCATAATTCGTGAATTGAGGAAGGAAGTTGAAATGCTAAAAGAAATGTTGAAGCATGCAACAGCCAGTTCTCCTGTTGGTGACAGAATGGATATCCATGATAAGATTACAGAGAGTGAGAATCTAATGAAACAAATTTCTCAAACTTGGGAAGATAAATTGAAAACGACCGAAAGAATTCAGAATGAGCGTCAACAGGCATTAGAGAAAATGGGTATAAGTGTACAAGCTAGTGGCATTCAAGTAGAAAAGAATAAATATTATTTAGTGAATCTTAATGCTGATCCATCACTTAATGAATTATTAGTGTATTACTTAAAGGAACATACACTTGTCGGTGGACGAGCAAGTGGAAATAATAATGAGGTTCAGCCAGACATTCAATTATATGGCCTTGGAATATTACAAGAACATTGTGTGATTTCAATAGAAGATGGTGATTTATTTATGGAACCAATCAATAATGCAAGATGCTTTGTCAATGGCTCATGTGCGACAAAGAAAACAGCTCTTCATCATGGCGCTCGTATCTTGTGGGGAAATCATCACTTTTTCCGTGTGAATTGTCCGAAAGTTAGTCCAAGTGGAATTAATAACTCCTCAGAGCCACAAACACCTGCTCAACCACTCGATTATAATTTTGCACGTGAAGAACTAATGCAGCATGAGCTTAGTAATGATCCAATTCAAGCAGCCATTTCAAGATTAGAAAAACAGCATGAGGAAGACAAACAAGTAGCACTTGAAATGCAACGAAAAGAATATGAACGGCAGTTTCAACAACTGAGAAATATCCTATCACCTACAACACCTTATGCACCATACGCTCCTTATGATCCATTGAGATTTGGTAAAATGACTCCAAATACGCCAACATCACAAATGCGCGTTGATAAGTGGGTTGAGGAGCGTGATGAAATGTTTAAAAGATCACTAGGTCAATTGAAAACCGATATAATGAGAGCGAATGCATTAGTACAGGAGGCTAACTTCCTAGCTGAGGAAATGGGAAAGCAAACAAAGTTTAGTGTCACATTACAAATTCCACCAGCAAATCTAAGTCCAAACAGGAGGGTAAGATTATTAAATTATATCGTTTTACAGCATCAATTTAATCTTTTATGATCACACAGCGTGGTGCATTTGTAAGCGAGCCAGCAATTCTTGTTCGTCGCTTGACAGGTAGTCAAGTGTGGACCATGGAGAAGCTCGAAAATAAATTAATTGATATGAGAGAACTTTATCAGGAGTACAAAGATCGACCTTTAGGAATGATGGTAAATATTAGAAATGATTTTCTTTACGTGTTGTTTTATTAATACAAAATAAGAAAGAGTTATGAACTAACCGTATGCACTCTTATCGCTCATACTTAAATAAATATATATTTTCTTTTGCACCATATCCTTATCTCCTATCTTGTAAATGCTAACAATGATACTCTGTATAAAAAAATAAAATAATAAAGCCAATTGAAGAGCACTCTATGGAAACAATACATGCTGATAAAGACGATAACGATGATGAGGTAAAAATTCTCTTTTACTGCTTGCTTTTCAACTAACATTATACCATAGTGATAATTATAAGCTATTCGCACTAATTTGTCATCATTCAATTAGGACAAAAATGTAATTCATATAATTAATTCGTTTCTATTCTTTTATTTCTTGAATAGGATGAGAGCAAGAACCGTTCAGATCCATTTTATGAATCACAAGAAAATCATAATCTTATTGGTGTTGCAAATGTCTTTCTTGAAGCACTGTTCCATGATGTTAAATTAGATTATCATACGCCAATAATTAGTCAACAAGGTGAAGTTGCAGGTCGACTACAAGTTGAGATTTCACGTATCGCTGGACAATTTCCTCAAGATCGAATGTGCGAATCACAATCAGAAAGTTCTCATGGATCGCGTGATGATTATGATGACGATAAGGACATGGATAATCACAACCAAATAACATGTAAAATTACCATCAAACAAGCCACAGGACTTCCATTATCATTATCAAATTTCGTCTTCTGCCAATATACATTCTGGGGACATCAAGAAGCCGTTGTGCCAGTCATAGATCAAAATTGCAATTTACCTGCCGTTAATCAAAACATGACTTTTAAATTTGACCACGAGAAAGACTATACCGTATCGGTTAATGAGGAATTCCTCGAACATTGTGCTGAGGGTGCACTTTCAATTGAAGTGTGGGGACATCGGTCTGTTGGCTTTTCGCGCTCAAAAGGATGGGAAGTTGAGCAACAACAAGCCAAGGCTAGATCTCTTGCTGACAGATGGGCAGAACTGTCACGTAAAATTGAATTATGGGTTGAAATACAAGAACTAAACGACAATGGAGAATATGCTCCGGTCGAGGTCGTTGGATCAAAAGATATGCTAACAGGCGGAGTCTATCAGTTAAGACAAGGCCAACAGAGACGCATTCAAACTCGCATCAGTGCTGTTCCAGATTCAGGGACATTGCCAATCATTTGCCAATCGATTATCAATATTTCAATTGGAAGTGTCACGGTTCGTTCAAGATTACAGAAACCATTAGACTCGTATCAGGAAGAAGATTTAACTGTGCTTAGGGAAAAATGGAGTGAGGCATTGGGACGACGAAGGAAGTATCTAGATCAGCAGATACAAAAATTAATTAACAAAGAAGGTAAGGTGTTTTATTTCTAGAAGCAATTGTTTGTTCAGACTATAAAAATAATTGAATTTCATTGATTTTAATTAAAATTAGATAAAACTGAACAAGAAAAGGAGCGAGAATTAAGTCTCGTGAATCAATGGGTGTCATTAACTGAGGAAAGAAATGCAGTTTTAGTGCCAGCAGCTGGTTCTGGGATTCCTGGTGCCCCAGCTGCATGGGAACCATCAAATGGTATGGAACCACATGTTCCTGTTCTCTTCTTAGACTTAAATGCCGACGACTTATCAACTCAAAATTCCAATGATGATGTTTCTGTCTCTGGAATTAATTCAATTTTACCCAAAGAACATGGAAATAAATTTTATTCATTGCAAATTCTACAGCATTTGGAGAAAGATATTTGTGCCACTTGCAGTTGGGACTCATCAATTCATGATAGTCAGGCACTTAATCGAGTGACAGAGGGAAATGAGAGAGTTTATTTGATTTTAAAGACTACTGTGAGATTATCACATCCGGCTCCAATGGACTTAGTTCTTCGAAAGCGTCTTGCTATCAATATTTACAAACGACAGAGCATTACCGATAAGCTGAAAAAATTGAGAATTGTTGGAAAATCAGATACGACATATCATTCGGGAGTCACATATGAGGTTGTATCAAATATTCCGAAAGCATCGGAAGAGCTTGAAGAGCGTGAATCATTGGCACAAATCGCAGCAACTGGAGAAGATTGTTCAACGAGTGATGGTGAAACGTACATAGGTATCGTATATCTATTATTTTCTACACAATTGACTCATAATACTCATAAAGTGCCTTCCAACTTCCTCATAATAAACAGAAAAATATACCCGTGGTGTATCAGCAGTTGAGAGTATTCTAGTACTTGACAGATTAAGACAAAGTGTTGCTGTGAAAGAAATAGAAACTCAGCAGAGCAAACAACAACTTTCAATGCGCAAAACAGCTTCAGTGCCCAACTTTTCACAGGTAATTTCCATTATTTATGATTGTTTATTCATTCTCTCGTCTTTTTATAGCATCAATTGTTGTTGCACATTATCTTTTCCTCTAACAAAAAAAAAGAAAATTTTTATATGTCCGCATTTATTTTATAGAGGTTCCAAGAATTATTTGCTTTTATTGATATTAATTTTTCTTGATTGATCTTCATAAATTTGAAAAAGGTTGTATCCATTTAGGATGAGAAATCGGGTATTATCTATGACTTTCATTATCATTAATTTTTATGATGAAAACTAATGGAATGAAAATGCTTTGAAAGTTATTAGATAAAGATGAAAGTATTGCAATAATGGTATCAATAATAATAGTGTTGCCAACATACTTAATCAAAGTCAGATCAAGGATCGTAGGATTATAGAAAGTGAAGCTTTTACGTGATATCAAGCTTGACGCTTTTTTTAAAAATTAAAGAAAAACCTGATTTAAATTGTGAAGCAATCAAGGGAAACAAAACGTGTCAAAAGGTTAAGGGTCAAAATTTCTGACACTTGGAACCTCTACATTGCATATCATCATGGAATATATATGTGTTTATAAACAGAATATATTTATTGCTATTTCTCTCACTTTCCTTGCACAATAAATAACAATGAAAAAATTATGTATACACAATATTCAGGCTGTTAAAGATGCTGCTCAAAATGGTGGTGTAAGTAGAACACTCATTGTTCTATCTCGTTATTATCGTTTATAATATATTTTTTAGTCTCTTTTGTTTGCAATAAGCTTCTTTATTTTCCCTTTATCTTCCTTTAATGTGTACAAAAAATTGGCTTCCTTTTTTGAATTTTTTAGAATTGAATATAAAAATCCGCATGAGACAAAGTTTTTCCACATAATAAAATACTTCCATTTCCTCTTTTTTCTTAGATTATGCGCTTCGATACATCAATGGAGAATCTGATTGGTATTGGTCGTTCAGAATCTTATGTCGATCTTAACCATTCAGATTTCGCAAAGAGCCTATTGAATTCATCCGGCAACTTATTTGCCGCAAGTACAGGTACGACAAAGAACAAAAGAAAAAGTTGTCGAAAACTTAATTAATTAAATAAATATGAATATTATTGCAAACAGGAAATGCTCGAGGACGTCACAGTTTTAGCGGGAAATCAACGACGGAAGATCCTTTAAATGCTAATAGCAAACCAACGTTTGGATTAAGTAAGTTGCACGAATTCCGTTTCTTTTTCTTTTCATTTCTTTTACTTCTGTAATTTGGAGATTTCAATGGATTATTTGTATATAAGGGTTAATTTGCTTATGTATCAAGAATATTGTGTTTATTCTGTGGGTTTTTGTTAAAAACTGATTCTGATACTATGATATTTCTAGAAATTTGCCAATATAGGCACATGATAAGGTTTTTGTTCCATTAATCAAAACAACTGATTTCTAAGAACATTTCGTACATGTCATGCAAAGAGCCCCTTGTTACTTCATCATTCTAACAATACTGTACTTAATAGGATCTTTTTAAACTGAAAACTGCTGAAAACAATTTAGTTGTTACTTCATGAATGAAAGTCTTTAAATTTAGAAAATTACAAATTATTAATCCACAAAGATTTATTGATAATAATCGCGAGAAAAGCATTCCATTTATAAAGTTCCCACAAGCAATTGTGCTACTCATTATCAGTATTGGAATCTCCAAATCATATACACAATTATATATTCTCACAAACTTTCAACATTGTTATTATTTTTACTATTTTTTCCACTTAACTACAATAACACTCGATTGTGTCCTTGTTGAAATCCTTTTTTTCTCGATTTGATTTGGTTTTGTTTTCCTTCTTTGTTTCATTCTTCCTTTTATTTTTTGATAATGAACAGAAATAAAATTTGATTTTGATTGTTTGATAAAACATTAATATACAGAAAAGAAAAGGAAAATTTAGCATATAGGATAGATATACTGAAAGCTCTACTCCTTTTCGTTAAAAATAACTTTTATATACACAAGTTTTCTTTTGTACACATAATAGGTAGAATAGTTAATTTGTATTAACATTATGTAATCTATTAATTTTAATCAGATCAGAACTTATACGTAAGAGTACAAAAGATTTAATTATTATAATCTTAGAGAAGGAGAAAACTTATTTTAGTGCTTTTGAAATTTAATGAAATTAAAGTTTGTTTCAAGTCACAAAAGGATGAGATTTGTCTACATTAATTTTAATTAAAATTATGTCAAACATAGCGCAGTGCAATATGCTGTACATTTTTATAGATGAAAAAAATCCACCGATTCATTCATTTTAGGAAATAAAAAAACTATTCGAAATACAAATTGCAGGAAAACATGTGTAGCAAAATTCAGAGACGCATAATTGCATTGTCATTCATCAAACTAATTAAATACTATATTTTTATTATCATACTGTGTATACACAAATTCCATTTATGCATATTTCAATTCAGCAAGGCATGTGTCTGGTTGAATGAATTTGTGAGGAGATTTTGTTATTGGAATGATTGAATTTACGCAATTCTTTGGTCATATCCAATACGATCGAACTTCAATTTAATTTATTTTCTGAGATTTAATTTAATCCTTTTGGTAAATTGATGAAGTGAAAATATTTTCAATACTATGAATGGATATAAAAACAAGTTAAATCATATTGACCTGAAGCATAAATGCCATCCTTTCTCAAAACTTCAAACCTTTCAAAATCATAAAAGTTTTCAGACATTTCTCAAATGAGATTTGTGTTCGTCATTTTGAGGATAAAACTTTTCAGAATCCCTCATAACTGTCAAAGTTTTCTTTCGCTATTGATTGAGAATAATTAGACATGTCCAAAAATAAATGCAAGTAACGATAAAAATTTGCTATATTGAGCTTTTTGTGGTCTTAAGCTATTCATGGCTATTCTAAATCTGTTCAAATGACAGTTAACATAATATAATAATTGAATCCAAAAACATATTTTTAAGATTCGAAACGACTTCAGACCTTAAATATTTCTGTCTGCAGAACAGACTTCAAGTCCAGAAATTTCAAACAGTTGTGCTACTGATTCAATTGGAAAAATTTTAATTCATTAAGCTGAATATTCCAATATCGATGCACGTTACCAACATTTTCCCTAATTATCCCGATAACCAATCGAACTATACACATGCCTTGCGTTTTAATTCATTTTTAATAATCAGAAACAAAATTGATTTTTCTCAAATTTCATTCACATTTAATTGAATCAACATTTTGGGAATGAAAAAATAATATAAAAAAAACAATATTCAAATCGATATTCGGCTTTGAAAGGGAAATAAAGATTTGCTCTTTATGTCTGTCTTTATCTCCTTTTTGCATTTTATTCTATTGCATAAAATATGATAAAAAAAACTTTGTTATATACGAAACTTTTTACGTATTTATTTTTAAATCTTTTCATTTCCCTTTTCCTCTTAAGATATTTCGCTGTATCTGTGCATACATATATCAATCATAACGAGGTGTCAATGATTCTTGATTGAATTTTTATTGAAAGCTTGTGCATTGAGAGCTGAATAAAATTCAATTGAGATATTGACTTTATATTTTCCTGTCCAGCCACCACCCCCAAAGACCAGCTACATATTCTATCTGCCATTAATTTTTTTATATCGACAGGGTGTGGATATTCTAACAAAGATCTGCTTAAGCTACGTAATTTTTAGATTAAGCTTTATAAACTTATCCATTATGGATTTAAAGAGCTTTATTATTAATATTAATCCTACCAATGTCTAAAGTTTGTGATGAAATTAATCTCATAAATATTAAAAAGGTCTTAAGCATCAAGTAATTAAACATGGGTTATACCCAGTTTTGTCTTAAGAAAAGATTTCATTTAAATAGATACAAAAATCGTCGGCCTGTTTCACTAAAGTGGATTATCCTCGATTTCGGATTATCCACTTCAGTTTTCTGTAAATATCTTAAACTTTATTGGAGTTTATTGGTATTTCTAATTTTAGATTATAATAGAGTGAAGTATGCCTGAAATATCTGTATACTTTAAACTTTTGCTTTCCGTTAAGAAGTATTAATTATTCAATTTTCTAGCCAAATCTAGTAGATTAACTTCGATATTTGCTATAATTCTAAAACTAATGAAGATATAAAAATTCTAAGTATATGTTAATTAAAGAAGCAAAGTACTCTAACTAGATCACACATTAGATCTAGTCCGAAATCGAGAATAATCCACTTTAGTGAAACAGGCCTTATTTTAGCTTATTGTTGCTAAAATAAGGATACATCTAGGTTTTGAAATGATTAATTGATGCTTTCTTGATAAATCGGATGTAGATTATTATATTTTAACAATTAGATGTAATTCTTAAAGTTTAACTTAATTTTCATCAGTTCATGACGAAAGCCAAGGTTAATAACATTTTGATCATATTTATCAATTCCACATCTTTAACAAAACTCCAAATTTTAAAAAAACGCTATTCAAAACTATCAGATATCCACACCCTGACAAGACCAAGCTGAATCCGCCTCTTTATCTCTCGTTATCTATCTCTATTACAATGCTTCTACTTTCTTTGTTGTACTTTATGAGTTTCCAATTTTAAAAATAAAATTCTTTTAAATCTTTATTGGATATGCTTTTACTTCATAATTTAATTATGAAAAAAAAATATTTATTAAAAATAAACACATCTTCTACTCTTATTTACCAATCCTGAATATTAACTTTTTGTATACACAACTCAATTCTGATGATATTTAATACAGAAAAAGTCTTATACATATCAAAACATAAATCCTCAAAAATTGAATATAAACAAAATTTTGTTAAATTAATTTTCTCTCTTCTTCTTTCTCTTCTTCTTTTCATTCACTTTGAAAATTCTCTTTTCTACTTCCGCCAAAATAATTTTTGATGCAAAAACAAAATGAACATAAAATTCTATTTTTTTTTTGATTATGAAAAATAATCTTTTATATTATCGCACCCATCCACGCAACATTCAATAAAACATGAAACTTATTATGAAACCGAATGATTAAATATCTAATGCTATTTGAATATTAAACTATGAATATTAATAAAATCGTCTTGTCAAGGCTCTATAACGATATTGTCAGGTAAAAATGTCAATCTGAAAGAAACTAAAGTTTTTTTTCTTTCTTTTTTTACGTAAAATATCTTTTCCGACTTATTTGGGTGCATTTTCTTGAAGAGAATGTCTTGTGAGTTACGGTGTATGTCTGGTTGTCTGAGTTTGATACCTTTTGAATTGTTGAATGGTTTAGTAAAGGTCTGCCATAGTAACACTAGTATCTAGAATTGAAGAAGGGACAGGGATGTCTTGTCCAAGGCTCAGACATTCCAACAGAATTGTAAAGATTGTACAATTCTTCACAATACATATGGAAGAATTGTAAAGATTGTACAATCCTTACAATCCTTATATGAAAAGGATTGTAGGGATTTTAAGGATTGTACAATCCTCACAATTCGTATGGAAGGATTGTAAGGATTGTACAATTCTGTTGGAGTGTCTGACCCTTGGTCTTGTCATCCAAAATAGCCTCTTACATTTATTTAAGCTAGGGCATCTTGCTTTTCAAGATGTCTAACTTTAATACAGACCCGAAGTCTATTTATTTACTAGACATTAGAATAATGTTTCTGATCGGGATGACAAATTTATGCCTAATTTCATAATAAATTAATTGTAAATTAGAGGCATCTATCAAGAAGAAGAAAACTGAATCCATTCAAATTAATTGTCTTCAAAGATATATTCAAGTGTTTTTTTGTTAACCTGAAACTCAAGAAAAATGCGCTCAACATGAATTTTTTTCGAAAGTTCTTTTTACCATTTTTTGTTGAACTTTTTTTCCCTCAAAAAAACAAAACTTTTTTTTCGTTGGACGAAATGAATCAGAATATTTTCCAAAAAAAAAATCTTTAATTTCATTCATACTGTTTTGATAGACGATAGACGTTCAATAACGCGGAAGGAATGGATCTTTTCAAATGGAAAATTAAAATGGAAAAGAAAATTGATAAAAAATTGTTCCTTTAAAAATTCACTAGAGAATATTTTGATGGAAAGTCCATACGAAGAAAAGGCTATGAATGGGATTTTTTTGGTTTTAGTCATGAGAATCAGAGCAAGAAATTTTTTTTATTGCAATGCGAAAAATTTTTTGATGCAGGCTGAACAATTTAATTCAAGAGGCGATGATAATGTGACATAAATTAACATAAATTATTGTGAGGAATGTCTGTTGTTTCGTGGTTGACAATTATGAGACAATTTAATTAAATTGTAAAATGTTTGCGTCACGAGACATCAGATTCTATTTGTAAGACACATAGTATTGCCACTGGGATTATTTTTATATTGTCGCTATTGATTTATTGATTTTTATAGCGAACATTAACTTGCCGCGTCATTGCTTTTTGGCTCGAAAAACTTTTTTTTTTGTGTCTCACTATAACTGTGAAGATGGCTTATATGACATGACTGCTATGTCTTTATGTTCAATTTTTGTATGATTCACCGATTGTGATATGATTTTAATTTTGAGAAAATTTTGAACCATCAAAAAGTTTTTTGGAATCGCACAAAAATGGATTTTTTTTTAAAAAAACCAAAAATTAAAATTGGAAATCAAAATTTCTTTTTGAGTTGAAAATTTCTAATATTTTTTTTTTAATTTTTGTAATTGAACCATAGAGGCTTGACTTACTTATAGTTTTTGAAATGATTGTTAAATCTAATACAAATTGTACCCAAATGTCTATCTCTATCTTTACTGGTTAAATATATTTCTGGCTATTTGTGAGATGGAGTATCCATCAATTTTTCATTTGTATTTCATGTTTGAATGGAAAAAGAACCGAAAAAAATTAACAAAAGATTCAAAATTCCAAAGACCCAAAAAAATAATGTTGTATTCCATTTTCCATCCCCAAATTCATCTTACCCCTGTTTCTAATGTTTATGATATATTCAAGTAACAAGAATAAAAAAAAATTGTTTTATGATTTGCTAAATGGAAAGTTCTTGTGACTTTGCATGTACAAAATTAGTTTCAAAGTTTTGTTCTCTTCTCTATTATGCTCTATCACTCTCTCTCGCTCTATCATAATTTATTGTTTATTATTTTTGCATGTCTAGTTCCCTTAACTCTTTCCTGTTGAAATTTCTATAGTCACATTAAATCAAATTAACATTTATGCATATTTCGTGGCAACAAATGAGCATCCTTTAGATACATAGAAAAGATATGATCATGTTTACATACTCACATGCTGTTTACTTTTGATTGTGCAATTAATGCTCTTCAGCTATGCTGTCAAAAGTCATCAACATTTTGTTTTGCATCTGGGACAAGAAAAATTGGATTATTGACTTAAGTTTGTTTGATTTGGTTCACTTTCATGTACTAAATGTTTGTGTCGGTTGGTAACAATCTTGATGACCGTAAAGTGTCAAGAAATGCTTAAGCCTTGAATGTATTTGAGTTGTGGATTAGGAAGAAACTCTTGTCAAACATCTTTTTGAGACCAATTTTTTTCAAAATATTTTACATAACCTCAAAGCAAGAATAAATCAATTGATAAGGATGGTTCATTTAAAGGTTCTTATAATAGAATTTTTGAACAACTCCTTAGTTTTTTCCCAAGACTTTCATTAAAATAAGTTACGAAGCTCGGTTCGTGTTTTGGGTGTAGCTTTAAGGTCTTTGGCACAGAATATGCCTCCTTTGCTAGGTATACAAGGATATACTAGCATTTAGATGACTTCCTTACGGCATCTTACGCACACGAATTGTGACTAGGTACATTGCAGGGTACATCAGGTCTTATGACGTACTCGTGTCTTTGCAATCTGCAGAGCAATGTGGTTCGGATCCCACTATAAACTGTAGGTCTAAAGGGTGTGGTACAATAGATTCTGTTCTAATTTGAATCGCAGTGCCTTCAGTTGAAAGGCTGAGCCCTTCACACATTATTCATTAAAATAAAGTTTAAAGTGCTTCAATTTCCCAAACCCTCTATAAGTTCATGACCCGATGTAGCAATCAAAAATAAAATAACTGTAGACAAATAGACTCTAAGTCAGTAATCAAACAGTTTTTGACCAATCCATAAAATTCATCCCAATCATTCCATCTCATAAAAGATTGGTGGAAACATCATATAAGTTATGTATATGGTTTAGAATAGAATAAAATGTATTTTCTTTATTTTGAGTTATTCAACTAGAGCAGAAAAACAGAATGTTTTAAGTCCATTTAACTAGAATTATGTGCGTTGATATAAAGACTATCTACTATGTTTTAGATGAAGATATATTGATTTGCTGATTAGATGAAAGTTTGTTTAATTTGTTAGAGCAGAAACGAGATTCTCAAATTATTTTGTGTTAAAAAAGTCCTTAGGAATGAGAACTTAATTTAATTATACGAACATTGAAAAGTATACGAGAAAATTTACTGCAAATTGAGATTAAATTTGTAAATTTTCTCTATGCTGTTCTTAGGTGTTAGTGTTGTCGAAAAAAATCTTTTTTTAATTCTTATTATTTTTTTCTCTGTTGCTCTCTCACGATAGAAACTTTAAATTTAATTCTATGGCATTTTCTCTCTTTCTTCCACCTTTTTTCCTAAATAATTTTTTAATTGGAATGCAGCACGACCAACATTCCTCAGTCTCAATTTAAATTTGAATTCATTGAGATTGCAACCTGGTAAACGTATGTGAACTAATCTACTAACTTCTAACTTATTGCTACTGTTAAAATGAATTTCCATTCAGTGAAAAGTTTCGTACTCAATTTCTAATAAATTTCAATTATTCTCTCACTCTTTTGACTCTAATTAAATAGCATCACCTGCAAGTAGTAAATTGGCACATCGCATGACAACATTACATGAAGAGACATCTTTACGTAATAACCCGTTACCAGAAGAAAATGAAGATTCGTACAGTGATCCAGAATATGATTATGACAGTAAGCCATCAACAGCAAATGCAAATTACTATTATGCCAAATCACGAATGCGCTCATCGCATACTATCGATTCATTCATGGATATTGAAAAGAAGACTTCGACGACATCTACAAATTTATTAAACTATAAATTATTGACACAAAATCAGCCATTTCATGTACAACAGCAACAAGGAATGAAATCGCAAGATAAAATGTCATCGTCTACAACAGTGAAGAATGGGAAAGTTGAAAGTATAATTGCAGCCGGTTCTTCGCCAAGCATGAATTCATCAACATCTAGCGGTTATGGATCACAAGCTGTCTCAATCAGTAACTTAACAAATGAAGATACACTGTCATTACAATCAATGTCTGTAGATGAGAACACACCAGGTATGAATTGATTTAATTAAGCATAACAATTTCATAATAATATTATGAAATTTAAGCAGATTTTCAATCATCATCACCGCCAAAGAAAGATGCAACAACCATCTACACACCAAGCTCAGGCCAAAAGAGATTTAATCCATTTATGAAGGAGAACACAATGGGTAAGCACGATGATGATGAATGTATTAATGAACCACCAAAAAATCAACAAAATTCTAAAACCAACACATCACCTACACATAAAAATCCATTGACGCCAACAAAAGATCATCCTTTAAAGGATCTTGTTAAAATGAAGCCATCCAAGGGAGAATTTATGGACGATTCAGATGATTATGTTGATGAAGAGGATGCTGCTGTGGTCATTGTTGAAAATAATAATATTAATACTTGTAATAACACTTGTGAAAATTTAAAATTGCATGATAATATTGGTTCCATAGATGTTTTAATACCTACATCTCCTTATAATGAAATTAATAATCACATTTCACCAGAAATTGAAAATACAAATCAACATGTCATCACACAACAATCACCAAATCAAACATCCAATGTAGATGATGAGAAAAATAATAATACACGTCCTGTAGAGATGAATGTCGATAGCGATGATGAGATTGATAAACAAAGACTCGTACCAGATAAAGTCGTTCGAAGAAAGAAAAGCCCATCAAGAAACACTAACAATAACAATGTAAATATCAAGAACAACAATCGAATGTCATATCCAATTGGTCGAGACCGCTCTCAGCCTCGAATCGAAGACGCATTAACGAGGTCAACAGATAGAATCGATGGTGAGTTTTGAACTGTTAATGCTAGGTCTAGTTTCTTGCTATATCCAAGAGTGTAACGTCCTTAGCTTCTTGAAAATTGAGAGTAAATCCAATCAACATTTGAGTGTATCCTGAGCCCAGTATTCAAACTATACTCATACCCCAGTTCTATGATAACATTGAGAAAGTCAGTCTCTGAATAGAATCTCAATTAGAAATTCAGGATTAAATTGAATTAATCTTTGAAGCACGAAGCAATGAATAATTAGATTGTCCCATTAGCGCTGTTAACAGATTGTCTAATTAATTCGTCATAATTTCTATGCATTAATTATATAAAATTACAGATGAACTCAACGAATCAACAATCCAAAAGCATGTAGATTTACCGCCTCCACCCGAATGGGTTGTTGTCGGAGAATCTGTCTTAATTCGTCCTTATAATACAAGTGGTGTTATTGGATTCATTGGCCCGACACATTTTCAAGTGAGTTTTTGTATATTTTTTGAAGCTTGAAATAAATGGAATCATGACAAAAATAACTCTGTGCTTATCTGTTTCTTTTTTTTACTGTTTTCCATTATAGGGAGGAACATGGGTTGGCGTTGAGGTAAGATGAATGTTTTGTATAACCTTGAGATGTATATATGAGTAAATATTTTTTTCACTTATTTCACCCACTAGTTGGACACTCCAACAGGCAAGAATGATGGAACAGTACAAGGCATTCAATATTTCACATGCCGCCCCAAGCATGGAATTTTCGTCAGAGCAGATAAGCTTATACAAGATAAACGCGGTAGAGGAATGAGAACAATGAAGCAAATGGAAGCAGCAAAAGCAAGACGTAAGTACCTAACAGATTATAAAAATGTGTATTACATGACGTAAAAAATTTAATGCTTGTAGCTGATGGATCTCTGACACGTTCAAAAAGCCGCGGCGAGGCTTTAAATGCGGTTGGCACGCAACGTAAATGATCTTATCATAAATGTTCGCATCACACATCATCGACAATTGCAAGTCGTATGCATGCTGTGAGGCCGAGCATTTGCAATAAATTAAAAATCAGTCGCGAAAAAGAAAATTTTAAATTTTAATTTTAATACAATTAATTAATTAATTAATTTTATGTATGTATGTATATGTACGAGACATTTATTGTGAAATATATTAATTAACATTGACATCATCATCATTATTATGTTAAGTTGTAGCAATAATGAAACTGGTGATAAATTTATGAAACTATCCTGAATGTTAGGCATGATGATGTTGATATCGACCTAGGTTTTCAAATTCTTACGATTATTTTATCAGAAACAAAGCACATCGATTCCAATTTATCATTTTTTTAATGTGATTTTAAAGGTAATAATTAGTTTTTAAAATGATTTGTAAATTTTTCCTTTATTATAAATTTTAATGCATTTCATTGAGAGATAGACATTCATATGGACGGGAAGTTCTTGACTAAATCATTTAGTTTTCGTGCATTCTTTGTGACAAAGTTGATAAATATCCAGATTCTAGACATGAAAATTTTTGACTCGAGCTGTACTCAGATTAATGTTCATGTTACTAGTTTATGATATGGTTTGTTTGAGCTTTACTACATCAAGCTAGATTGTAAGGCTGCCAGACGAGATTCCTAAACTGACGAAATATTTTTCAGAAAGACTTAGGACATTCTTTTACATTGTTTTAATTATTTAACGGCAAAAAAGAGTTGATTAAGGATTTTACAGCTAACTTCAAAATAGATGACAAAGTCAAGAATTTTCAAACTAAGTTCAGATTAAGATAAATCATGTTAGTGCAACGGATGATGTTCTGTCCTTCTAGATGTTTCAATATATAGATTCAGATAGGTTTAGAATTAATCTTACTACGGCACATTACTTATAATCAAAGTATTCTTTTTTGATACCAGAGGATATACTTGACATTAGCTGAACTTTCTCATTTTCCTGCTATCACTTTAAACAGCTTAAATCGAATTTGCATGCAAAAACTTTATTGATTGATGACCTGAATCATTATAAACCTTAACTCTGTCCAAAGAAGACACGAAAACTTTGAGGTTGTGAACGAAGAACTAACCCCAAAAGTATGAGAAATTTTATTCCAATTTTTTTATAATTCACAAGAATGAAATTAAAACGCGAAAAATCATTATGATGAAATTGTTTTCTAGTCCTTAATTTATTTAATAAAAAGAGTATAAAAAATATGAAAAATTATAAACAAAGCAGATGGTATGAAGAGATGAAAAAAATTGAAGCAATTAGAATTGCTCATTGAATAGATAATATTTAATAATATCCAAATAGACATTAAATTCATTTTAAAGAAAGTCCTAAACAAATATTATATCTTAATCAATTTTTCGACCGTATAGACAAGGAAATGTTTAGAAACAGAATCTTATAGGAATCCCATTTCTTAATTTCCTCTTAAATTATTCATTAAAATAATCTAAAGTAAATTTAAAGAGAATTTAAAGAAAAATGTCAAAAAAAATAAAAATAAAATTTAAAAAATTCACGTCCTGTCTCCATCCAAAAATAGTGTTGTGACTCCTGCCCAATAGAAAGTAAATAAAAATTATTGTAGCCACATTTGATGGACATGTCAAATGCATAATGTGCTGAATAAATTCTTATTTTTAGAGTGATGGTTCGTTGGTGACAAAAATGCATTACAAAGTAATAAAAAAAGAAATTAATCATGAATCGTCCAGAAAAAAAGTTTCATTTTAGATCAAGCACGTCCAAAAAAAGAGAAGTTTTTAACGATTCCATTTTCTTCATAGACAAAATTAATAACAAAAAAAAAATTAAATAAAAATAAGACTTGAAAGATGATGAGTGAAAAACTTAAGATTAATATGAAGCACAATATGAGCGATGTGAAGGTGATGTGTGAGAATGTAGGAAGGATCAAGAAAAAAAAATATATTGCTATACTTGATGTATAAATCCAAACAAAAATCTTTAACTATCCTTTTCTGCTCTAAACGTCTTTGAGAACTAAAAATTATGAAACAGAATAGTTTTAATGCGCATTCAACTCATTCATTTCTCCTTGCTAAAAACAAATATTTGTAAATAGTATGTAGAAAAAATATTCTATATTTCATTTTCATGCCACGTTTGCATAAATCTTGTATTTATTTGATTTTATCCCAAATCGCTGTTGAATTGTTCTTATTTGCATCGTTAAACATATTTTTCTCCTTATTCATGCATTTTTATTTAAATCTGAAGCCTTTTTATGTTGCTCATAAAACAATAATAATGAGAATGAATAAGTTATCGAATTATCGTGATATAAAAATTTATGTTGAGTTTTTTATGTGTTAAAATATTTTCATGGAAAATTCGAAATTCAGCTATAGCGTCACGTGGTTCCTTATATTCTGCTTTACTCACTTTACTGGTGATTTATGTAAACATTATGCTATTTTTAGAGTCAGTACTTGAAAGGAATTATGTTGAGATTCAATCTCATATCAACTGTTTTTAACAATTTAAACTTTAACGGATTTTTGAAATTCAAAAAAAGATCTACTATATTTTCAAACTTAATTTATACGTTGAAAACTGATCTACTTTGTTATTGTGCTCAAAATTGAACAACTGACTCTAATTAATTTTAATATCTAAACTATATTAAGAACCAATTACGTGACACTATAGAAAATTCAAACTCAACCCATTTTTGCTCATTTATTTTAATTTAATTGCTTCTCGGCTAATACATTGAATGAATTATTAAAGAATTTGTAAATATATTACATTAAAGGTACACGAAAATCGCTATTCTGTCCAAAAAATCATACACAACAATGAATCCGAATGACAAAATTCATAGCTTTGTAACTCTATTTAAACAAAAGATGAGAGTTTTAAATATCACAATTCTATACTCTTAAAGCAAAAAAGGCTTAAAACAACTTTTAGGAGCTTCTTAAGACAGAAAAATAATCATTTGACATTAAATAAACTTTACTATGAAAATTTTCTGCAACAAATTCATTTTCGATAACTTTAAACACTTATTGATCCTTTATGCCTCCTTATTGAACTTACTAAAAATGAATTGATAATAGTTTTGTAAGAAATGAATTTCAAGAAGAAAATTATTTGACAAATAAAAGATTTTTTTCTCCAAAATATAACAAGCTTTAATTTTATTTATTTCATAATTAATTCAGGATATCAGATGAATCTTTAATAATACTAATTTGTGTTTCATTTAATTTAGCACTTGTAGATTCAATAAATTCGACAATTTGCATAAGATTCTTGTTGAAATCTTCAACTTTTTGATTCTTTGATTCAGCATTGTTGGGAACATCCTTAACGGTTGTCTTCATTGATTGAAGGATGTTCATATGATTCTTTAGTTGCACAATTTCTTCCTTTGATACAACATCATTAGCATTATATTTAACGTGAGCATTTAATATTTTTTCAATTTTACATAGCAGTTTTTCTGCAGCATAAATATGTGCAGATGGGTCGTTTTCTTCGTGGATTTTCAGGATCCTGTGGACATTAGCAATCTTTAAGGTTCTGTGAAAGAAGAATGGATATAAAAATTAGCAACAATATTTTGCTTAACATGTTTAAAAGTAATCACTCCTATAGTCATAAAGTCGATTCATAGAGCTGAACATTCGATTCATTTTCCTTCATGAATTCTTTGATTATATCCAATTGATTTTTGCTTAATTTATCCCAACATTTATTCTTGCGAACTTCTTGGTGATGTGCATTAATAAACATAACGCATCGTAGAATCAAATAATTGTCATTGTAAAATTCAGCCAGCATAAGGTAATGAAGAACATTTTTTACGTTCATAAATTCAACCATATAGGAAATACACTTTTCCTTTAATTTAGCAATTTGATATTTTTCAGCTCCATAATAAATGTCTTTTAAACGCACAAGTGATAAAGAAGTATCATCTTGGGTATACATAAACTTTAATATTTCTTCCATAACTTCTCCTTTTATGTCGTCAACTTTCATTTTGCCATTTTTCGATTCAGTCATTTGAGTTTGTAGCATAGCACTCAAAACAGGTGAGTTTGTAGCCAAGATACAGCGATGTGTTTGAATTTCCTTGCCATCAGAACAAATGATGGTGAAATCAGTAAAAATCTTGTCCTCGAAAAGCTTACGAAATTGAAAAAAGAAGTCTCTGGTACTGGATGTGCATTCTAAGCATTCATTGTCTTGTAATTTAAATCCACTAATAAGTTCAATCTTTATCTTAACTGTCAATGTATCATATTCAATGAAATAATTTGTTGGATCATCAAATAGCTCTTCCAAATTAATCAGTCTTAATCGAGATATTGTATTTTCGTAATATAAAGCATGTTTTTCCGAAAAATCATTTACTGGAAGTTTTCGACTGTAATTTATTGCTTTTTCAGGAATAAAGCACGAAAATCTGGCTTTAAAATCTCGACATTCAGCATCATCCAGTCGAAGTAGCAATGAGATTTCCTTACTTTTAACATAAAACCGCAAACTCCATTTAGTTTCATTGTTTCCAAGTACAATTGTAATTTTCCTGCTTGCAAGATATCTATCTTCCTTCATTGGCAGAACAATATCTCGTCTAAAATTATGTATTTTCCATTCAAATTCACGCGTTGCTACTGCCTTATCGAACTTCATTTCCTTGAAAACTTAATTTTTTTACCAGAGCCAATTTTAACACGTTTGTTCTATTGTTCTGAGAATTTACTAAAATAACGTATTTTATATTTTTGAAATTTATGAAAACTTGACAGTGAAAACAGAATAGATTTTAGTGGTATTAATCCTGAATTACAGCCTTAATTTTGCTGCATAGATCGCTCTTTAATATTTAGAATCCATAAATAAATGCAGTGTCTACGCCTTGCAATAATTGTTCAGTTGAATTTAACTTTTTTAACACAGCTATGCACAAGACATACAATAGGATTAATATAAATAAATGGGAACTTACTGCAATTTGTCCAATTCAGCTTTATAAGAACTGTAATCGCCGGTAATGTTGAGTTTATTTGCAATTTTCTTTTTGTTATCAGCTATTTTATCACCAAGAAAACCTGCAAGCAATGCATTTCCAAGCATATCCGCTTCTAACACTTGTTGATCATAAAATACTTCAGAAAGATCTTCACTTGATGCTTTAACATTCATTTTAAGCAAATTTAAATTAATTACTATTTTTTTGAAAAAATCAGTTGTTTACTTTTAAATTGTGAAGTTCGTTACAATAATTTCTTTCATTTTATGTCTATCCTCTTTTTCAAAAAAGTAATAGACATTGTCGTCATACTTAGTAGATTTAATTCTAGTGTTACGTTTCCCGCCAAAAAGATCAGTTTTGATCAAGACATTTAATTTAATTAATTTACTGCTATTTAAAAGGAATGGAAGTAGACCATTACGTGAGGAACTCCGAAGACCTGAAAGAAGTCATCGCACACGCAAAATTAGATGCTAAAAACTTGACAAAAATAACACAAGTAAGTAAATCAAGTTCAGTGAGTTTAGCTATATAGGTATAGCAGATCAATAAATAAAGTGTATTATCGATTGATTTATAGGCAATTTACTTTAATAACTATCATGATTTGCTCGGGAATGATGAAACATCCGATATAAAACTATTAGAACTGGATCATGATTTGTTAAAGGAAGTTGAAGCTGGAAGTATCTTGACATTCCGAGGAGGATTAAACGACAAAGTGTGTTTATGTTCAAGAAATAAAACTTATGAAATTCGAAATGCTGAGCAAACTAATTCAATGATTGTGATTCCGGATCTTTTAAATGCTGAAAGAACGAGTGATAGCCCATTAAAAAGTCCAGAAAAAGGCAGCATCAATAAATCATTGGATAGGAGCTTAGAAGATGATGAAGTAGAGAATACACAAGAAGCTTTAAATATTCCTCACGAGATCCAACATAAACATATTCTAAAAGTGTTTTACAACTATTTGGAACCAAGACAGATCCAGCCACAAATTAAGAAAATATATGAACTGCTAAAATTAACATGCTACAATGGTCCTGAGAACGAAGATTCAATTAATAAGAAGCATCTCTTCACAAAACGACAGCTATTTACAGCAAGTCAATGTTCAGCAGCTGAATTTGATGCACAGCTAGAGAAACTTCGAAGCATTAAAATTAATGAATATATTCGCATACTGGATTATGCTTACGAATTTCGTGTCATTACTTTAATGACCAATATGATTAATGAGAATAGCTGGAAATTAAATGAAGTTGATAAAACTGAGACAATATCAGCACTTGAAGATATTGTTCCAGTAGAAATTTTACAAGCAGTTTTTAACTATTATACAATAAGAGATGATGAAACTGGAAAGTATGAATACAAAGAAGACATGGTATGCAGAATAATAGCTCTAAATGTATTGCAAGAGGGTTTAAAATTTCATATTGATGAGTTCCTGGATGTTTGTCAAGGCGGATTACCAGAAGGAATGAAAATGGATGAAAGTTATCTTCATGGAATAGGCGTAATAGATCGTGAATCACAAATTCCTAGCATTAAAGGATTATTTGAAGGAAATTTGCCATTAAATCTACAAAATCGCTTAACCTGCCTTTTTAAAGCTAAAGAGAAGTGGACTGTCCAACAAATCACACCTTATTTGGAACTATTTACTACTCCAAAGATGCAGGTATCAACATTATTAACAAAATACACGAGAAGTGTTTCTGAAAATGGCATCAGATATTATCAGGCAAAGCATAAGTAATCGTGGAAGTTTTAACGGATTTTACTTTAAAAATCATGTTTTGCTTATCCGTTTTTGACGGTTATAAGATATTTTGAAAAAAATGTTAATAACAGGAAGGAACAATAAAAAATAACAGAAAGGAACACAGTATTTTATTAAAAATGAGCGAGTTTAAAGATTTATACAAGGCAAGCTTTTTGGAATCGAATGAAAGACAAGCACAGCGACGAACGAGATTGTTGGAGGAACAACGAAAAAAGAGAGAAGACAATTTTTCAGGACATCGAGAGATAAAAAGTCCAAAAAATAGAAAATGGAAGCATCAATGTGATTACGACTATAAATATAACTTAATGCTGTCAGAATGGATGATGGAGATTCCAGACGATTTGGAGAACTTTCTATTAGTAGCTTGTCCAAAAGGAATCCGGTGTACTTTATCAAATGAAAAAACAAAAGGCAGTCTTAGTAAATTATACTACAAAAATGGAACTGAATTTCTAAGCATTAAGACCAACTTACCAAAAGGAACAGTACTTGACTGTATATACTCAAAAACAACAATCTTTGTACTGGATGTCATGAAGTACGAAGAAAGAGAATTTATTGAATGTGATACAGCTTTTAGAAGTTACTGGATCAGGAACAAATTCATTGAAGATGATCTCAGGATATATGAAAGCAATAACAAATGCTTAAAGTTTCAGCTTCTTGAAATGCTGGATTTTGCTGATTCTCACGTTATTCAAAATTGCTTTCAGACTTTTCCATTATTTGAAAATGATATAGTCATTGATGGATTTTTATTTTATCATAAAGAAGCTTCCTACACATTTGGCGAGTCCCCTCTGGTTTTGTGGTTGTTTCCATTTATGATTGAGGATGTTTTGCCAATGTTTCGTGTTCATTTACAATATAATGAACAAAAGCCAGACAATTACACAACTTACCTTGACTACATCTATGAATTTAATTCAAAGCTTAAAACGAAGAGAAAGTCAAACAATCACGCTGAAAAGGAGAATATGGATGTTCAGGACATTGAACAGGAAACAGACGAAATGCAAAAGATGATTGATTTAGAAAGATTTGGAGATTTTGAATAAAATTCTTCTTTCTATGAATTTCCAAAAGTTTTATTCTTTTAATTCCGTAAAATCTTTCACATGTGACGTCTATCAAAATACTCATCAGCTGGTTCTAAAAATGTGATTTTTTTTAAAATTTCGTCTTTTAATAAATGTTCTTGATTAAGCTATCAATGCATTAAAATGACTGAAGATCCATAGGTTTTATCATTTAAAGGATAAACAGTTATTGTAATGTCCAGAAAGTTTAACATGATTAAGTTGAATTTAAGGCTAAAGTTATTAAAAATCACATCTATACAATAACTAAGATCTGTAACAGTTGCAGACCTACCTATAGTGCTAGACGTCACAAATGATTGATTAGTTGAATATAATGATCACTAATTAGGTACAGTTACCATATCCCATTTCTTTTTCAGATAAAACTTAAGTGCTGTTAAAATATTAATCGAGAAATAGTTTCCGAAACTTAATAATGATGACTTCTTGGTGACATTACTGCTATCGAACATATCAAAATCGATAGTCTTGCCTTTATCCTTTGTCGAAATTACCATTAAGCAGTCCAAGTCTAAATTTATTTTCTTCTCAAGCATCTTACTTGATAATGTTTTCTCCACTTCAATAGTTTCATCATCCTTAAAACTCATCTTTTTGCGTCCATTTATTGTGTCGTACTGTAAAATTACACGAAGTCTTGATTGCATCAAATTTGAATTTGATTGATCCTCTGATAATTCAGGTATAACTGTACATAGATAGTGTTCTTTAAGAAACTTTTGGCTATATTCCACAACAAGTTCATAGAAAAGCGTCTGTTGTTCCTCAACACTGTAAAATTTTGAAGGATTCTCATTCAGTAGAATGTCTTGACATGCTTTTAAATCTCCAGCTGTAGCATGTATTGTCATCTGGAACTTTTTCTTATTCTTACCGCGATTCTCGTTCTCAGTTTTAATTAATTTGATGTCAGTAAATAGTTTTATCAGAAGTTCTGCAAAAGGTTTATCCTTTAGTTCCTCACTTTTCTTAGACGACAACTTGATCAACTCAAAGAACATTTCTGAGTGCTTCTTATTTTTAATGCCTATATTAAGGTTCAACTCGAATCCATCCTGGACCACAAACATTCCAGGACTGTCTGCTTTAAGTGCCGTCAAATTGTGTGTCTTAACAGTGTTTCTGTAGTCTTGCAAATCTGTGTTGTTGTCAAATGATTTTCTGGGAATTAAATTTCCAGTATAAAGTGACACAACATATTCATTGTAATTGATTTTATCATAAAACTCAAAGAAGCCACAAAGAAGCTCTCTTAATGATAATTTATTATTTTTAGTATTGTTGATGGTGTCGTTAAAATAAAAATTCCACTTGTATTTTGTATCCAGTATCAACGGACTTCTTGATCGTTGATTATTAATGATCGTGTCCAGTAAGGGATTCTCGGCATTTTGTAGATAGAATATCATCAGCATCATTAAGCAGTAATTGCTTATTATCAATTGCTGTGCTAGCTTTTGTGTTTTTGACCATAATTTGAGGATGACAGCTAATTCTTTAATTCGTCTATCATAGCCGAGTACATGTCCGATGAAGTATGAATTATAGTAGCCAAATTTAGATGAAAAATTTACATCACATGTGATTTTAGTTGATTTGTGAAGAAGTCGTATGATTGGAACTCTTGCATTCTGTATCATGCAAATGATTTGAAACTCCTTACCTTGTGAATATCTTGTCAACTTTGCTGCTCTACCAATTAATTGTCTAATTTCATCGTTATGTGATGGCGTTGTCTTTAATTTTACATAATAATCTAAATCACTTCCATGAAAGTCGAGACCGGTTAATGTGGATCCAAAAACTAGCAATTTTTCAACATTTAAAGGTGCCATCAAATTCATTAAGTCATTGTAAATCTGCTCCTTAGTTTTAACCCAAGCTGATCTTGGTGGTTGTAAATATGATATAAGGATATTCACTTCCTCGCCTGCTTTACATCCATTAAGCAATGTCATCGTCTCTTTGAATATTTCAGCCCACTCTGTTGATCTTTGTTCCTGAATTACAACTATTGGACTTATTGCGTTTGACTTCTTCTTATTTAAATTTCCTTTATTGAATTTTGGCGTCACCAAATTTTGAGTATTTGGTGTCTGATAAGCAGCATGTGGAAATGTTTGACTATATTGAGGTGGTTGCATGTTTGGATTTTGATAAAAGTTTTTCTTCGGGACTTGTCGTTTAGGCTCTGGACTAGCCGTAAGTGATGATTGTTCAACATATTCATGTGATCTTTTATTCCGATTACCCCATTTTTGATAGTTGTTATTAAACTGTTGTTGCTGCTGTTGATGTTGAGGATATGCGGAACTATTCATTTGGTTACTTACTGGATATTGTTGATAATTATTGTAATTCTGTCGATTTTGAAACTTTTGCTGTTTCGTATAGTCTGTGTTGCTATATCCATTATAGTTATATTGCTGTGGCATTTGATCTGTAAAACCCTGATCGCCATACTGCAAAAAATTCAAACTGATCTTCAAACTGGATCTTTTTTGATTCAAAATGTATTTTAATTTACCCATCCCTGTTGTGGATAACCATAACTGTATCCTTGTGATGTACTCTGTTGGTAGTCATTTCCTTGCGTATATCCATGCCGATTGTATGACATTTTGGTTTAATGAGATTTGACTAAAAGTTTTTAAGATATTTTGTGCTTTCCATTGAATTGTTGCAGTTTCAGCTTACCTGTATAGTTTTCCTTATTAAAAATATCAAAAACACTTTGTGACTTACTATAAAATATTGTTTCTTAAATGCAAATAATGTAGTTAAGGGTTTAAATTAATATATTTAAAGATTTCATTATTTTTTATTTTTTTTCTCGTGTTTTTGTTTTGCAATCGTTTATTCAAATTTCAAGTTGCCGTTAAAAAATGCACATTTGATTTTTAAGTAAAATTGTTAATATTATAGATTGAGACTTTTAAATATATAGCTGGATTTTATTGCAGCCACTTGATGAGACTTAGGCTGTCAAGTAAATTCCTTAGATGAAATTCACTGCTGAGCGACGTTTTGAATCGTGTGAGATTCATAACGTTTAACAACAAATATTTAAATTCAGCATGCACCTAGAGAGGAAGACTTTAAGGAAGGTGGGACGAAGAGTCGAAGATCTGGCGCGAAAGACAGAAAGGAACAAGTGGTCGAGGAGAAAACATGGAAGAAGAATAAAGCAATATAATTAATTAATAGTGCATGAAATAAAGATGCTTCGAGAGAAAGAATTGTAAGAATTGATATTAAATATGTATATATACATATATTAGTAATTTATTGTAAATGTCATTAATAGATTTGAACTACAACACAAAGCTGAATAAACCAGAAGATAATTTGGAAGGAAGCAACTGATTTTTCATTCCACAATCTGTAATTTACAGCTAGTTCAAGTAAGTCTCCTATCAAATTTCAGCACGAAGATAGGGTAAAATTAGATTTACCGCACATAAGCTCCTGAAAAATCGATTATGATCGTTGAAATAAATAAGGATTATAGATTAAAAACTTAATTTCGTTCTGATTTTTATTTTCTCTTTTTTAATATATTAAACAAAGTATCTAAATAATGAAATACATGCATAGTTTGAAATAAAGACTTTTCATCATTATTGTTTTTTTTCCATTTTTTTGTTTCTGCTTTAAAAATTAATAATTCTCTCAATTTTCTTTTAACATCAATTTTCACTTAATTGATTTTTCCTTTTTTTTTTGATTTTTTGTATCATAATAAAAATATAAGAATATATAATGAAGAAAAGTTCAAATGACATGACCAATTGCCATCAACCATGGAATGTTAGTTTAATGCGCTTAATTTATCATCAACGCTTTTTGAAAGGAAAATTCATACATGAGAAGTCACTGAAGATAACATTTTTGCTTTGTTGAATTCAATCAGTAAATTGTTAAATTTTTATCGGCTTTTTGAAGTTTAAATTTTTAACAGATTTTTGTAATTCAAATAGAAATGAACTCAAGTACAAATTTTGAATTTTTCACTTAAATTTAACGGTTTTCAGGTGAGTTATCGTATTTTGTGCTACTTGCGGCATTTGATAAAATTATTATGGCGAGTTTATTATTCTTTTTGAAATTATGACGAGGATAATGAAACATCCAGCAAAAATTAAAATTGAGTGAATACAAAAGCGTAATTGTCCAGCAAAAATGTATCGAAAAATGGATTAATGAATTATAGAATTAAGGGAGACATTCGTTAAAAATAAATGAAATATAATGGTAGGTATTCGAACATGTGCGCAGTTAAAGTGCAATTAGATAAAAATATTAATGTAATTTTTCCTACTTAAAATCTCACGTTATTATTAAAAATTCTATTTAATTGATTTTCGGAAGATTCTTCTTCATTTCTGTCAATGTTGTCCCATAAATGTCATAAAAGCATGTCTATTAGTTATGATCACTCATTTATCTGTATAATAATTATATATTCATCGAAAGTGCAGCATTATGATTGATGTTGAGTCATTATCGTCCATTTTTTGATAAATTAACCAAACATTTTGTGACAAAAATGGTTAAAAATATAAATTTACTTGAATTAATTTCTTTCTTTTTTATCTCATGAATTTTTATCCAACCTTGTTTTTTTTGTTTTGTTTTAAGAGTTCATCATATGCATAGCAAAAAATAATGGCAAGGCAATTTTTTATATATTTTTTTATACTTAACAATACAACATTGTCGATGTATGCATTAATTAATTAATTATCCCCCATTTTATACCGCAATTAAATTATCAGGCAGTTCTTCACCGTAGAAAAGTAGTGAGTTTCAAGTGGTGATAACTCGATGATCACAATTAATTAATTTTGAGTCACATGAGGGCATGATTAGGTCATTAACTTGTTGAAAAATTCCTCAATTAGCTATAATACAAATTTAATTGCGCTTCAAACTCTGATAAGCGAAAATCAGGAGCTATAACGCAATTCATTCTCAATAAAAAAAGACTGATTAGTCAATCACAGTGTGAACAGTCATGCACAAATGCGATTCAATCATTACAACCATAGAGTCATCACCGCTAGATTAATTTATATTTTTCTCATTATACACAAATTGAAATTATTCAGATGAAGAATACAGTTCAGAAAGCGATAAAGGATGAATGAATGTAAAATTTGGCTAAAACATCGCTAATTGATTTCCACTTTTTTTTTCTCTCTTTCATGCGCATTTTCTCAGATCGTAGACATTGCTGTCTACACATTGTCTGTCTATTTGCTCCAGTTTTTATCGGTTAAAGAAACTGGTCTTGCAGGAATTATGCATGCTGCAATTTTATGGAACATAATCGATAGTTCACAATAATTGTCATCTTATTTACGACGTTTAAAGTCAACGACGACTTTTTAGGGGTCGATTAACAAATTTAAGGAGGATGTCTATAGATTTGTGGACAGAGATCTAATGAAATCCATTGCTTTAACGGATTTTACTTAAGAATAGACTCAAGAACCCCAAGAAAATGCGCTTTCGAACCAGAATCTGGCACAGACGATCTACAAAACTGTTTCTCTTCTCATTTAAAACTAAAAATAAAAATCATGCGTCATTCATTATCCCACAATCATTAAGTTATTCTATTTAGCAAGTTACTTTCACTTCTTTTTTCCTCTAATTACTTCATTTCTTTATCAATATGTTTTCATGTTTTTTTTTTTGTGTAATTTAATTAATTAATTTGTATATGTACATGTTAATTTATGCAACTCTTATTATATTTAATCATTTATTTAAAGATTTTTTTTACTCATTTGCACAATCAGACAATGTGTGCAAATTATTAACAAAGATATTTCACCTTCATTTAATTTAGTTTTTCTTTCTCTTATAATTTTAATGAAATTTGTTTCTATATGACATTATTCTTTTTGTATCGTCGATTGATATCAATTAATGTGAATTATAAATTTTTTTTTTGTTTTGTTTCATTGAGATGTATGGATGTATTCATGCAAAAACGTGTTTATTAACCGTACGAATGGTCTTGTAATTTTTACACAGCATTAAAGTCAGCATAAATACATAATTTAGAGTTAAAAACTGAAGTTCAACATAATGATTGCAAACAACTGTTGCATGGAACATATAATTTTTTAAATGTGTCTGTGTCGCGACAAAAATATGTCGCATGTGACATATTTCATCTCGAGACACAGTCATTTATGACAAATGTTGCACGTGTTGAGCAAACATGAATTTTGTCAGATTTATAAGTTTTAAGTAATAACAATAATTTCGCAGAAAGGAGTGTAAATTTTAATGTTAATCGTTATCAGTCTACAGTTTTATGTATGAATACATCCACCAATCTTGTATTCTATTAAAATTACTCATGCATTGCAAAAAAAAGAGACTATCTCTTTTAAAAGGATGGATCCTCATACAAATATCTTCTCTTTTCTTTTTCATCTGGACGAAAGCTAATTTAATTGCTAGCCATCCAGTACATTCATTTGCTACTCATAAATTTTTGTGTTTTTTTGCTTCTCAGTTTTGCTTTTTTTTAAATATTAATTTTAATAAAAAATTAAACCAAAAAATATATAATCATAGAAGAAAAGAAGAACTATCGCATAGACAATAACGATTGATAAACATTAAGAAGAAGAAAATAATGTTGAAGATTAAATTTACTCTCATAACTTGTGATTTGATGTTAACCACGTGAGTCCTTCATAAAGCCCATCTCCGGATGTCGCACAGGAAGGCTGCACATACCAATTTCGATCACGAATTCGTGTTAGTCCAAGTTTTTCTTGAATTTCGTGGGGTTTCATTGCTACAAATGAGAGAAGAAAAACAAAATTGTTTTAGAATGACAATTTTTGTGCATTTGTGTCAAGCATAGTCGATGCTTGTGACAGGAATATTTTTGCATAACTCACCATCAGGTAAATCTTGTTTATTGGCAAATATTAAAATAATTGCATCACGCATCTCCCTATCATTAATAATTCTATGTAGTTCTTGGCGTGCTTCATCAATTCGATCTCTGTCTGCACAGTCCACCACAAAAATTAGTCCTTGAGTTCCTGTAAAGTTGAAATAAATTCCAAATTATTGGTTTGTGGACTAGAATTCAAATTCTATAGGCATATCCTTCGTCAGACATAAATCCCTCTCAAATGCAACTTAATTTAGAACGTCCCACATTTTTGTGGAAGTTAAGTGCTCTGAAAATAAATTAAAGAGGACTCACCTGTATAGTAATGTCGCCAAAGTGGTCTAATTTTATCTTGACCTCCTACATCCCATACATTGAATTTGACATTTTTATATGTTACTGTTTCAACATTAAATCCTACTGTCGGTATTGTTGTTACACTCTGTCCTAATTTTAATTTATATAATATAGCTATAAATGCACAAAAAAAAGAACAGGAACAATAAAATCATTAGCTAGGGCAATAAGTTTTTATGTGAATTAAGGACTTACTTGTTTTTCCAGCAGCATCGAGGCCTAACATTAATATCCTCATTTCTTTATTGCCGAATATTTTCGATAGTAGCTTTCCCATTTTTGTATGTTTCTATATTTATGTATTGGCGCGCTTGTCTATCTTAGCCGAATATGATGAGCCCCCAAAATATAATATTTATGGTAATGTATCTAACTAGATGAGAAGAAAACATATAGATAGAAAATTATTATATTAATGCTGTGCAAAAGAACACAAAAATCCTTCAATAAATAATTTATTGTCGAGATATTAGGTAATTCCCTCAATCATTTTGAATTATTAATTTAGATAGATACTATCATAAAGAAAAACATATGAGCGTTGAGCACTTCAAGCATTCTCATGTATCATGTCCTCATACAAAAGCAACATTTTCATATGCTTAGTGGATTTCATTTTATTTCATAATTTTTTTTGTATTCATTCCATTTGTTATAAAGTAAATGAAAAGAATTTACGCGACAAAAGGGATTTTTATATTGTTTCCATTCGTTACATTCATTCAGTCTTACAAAGTAAATTGTGGAGATATGGAAAGAATCTTGAAAAAGTAATTCACATTTTTGAAGCATTTATGCTATCATCGTTGTGCTGTATTTATTTCGTCTGGATTGTTATCAACAATTTACTGGCTATACAAAGTGTTTTAAGCAAAATATTTAATTTGATGAATTTTTTTAAGGTCGTTTACTTTTCGATATGCCCTTGAACTTTTATTTGCATTTTCTTTCCTGTGTCAAACTTATCGTGTTGTATGAGTATGGCAGAGAAATCTGTCCGAGATTGTTCAAAAGTTATGTCTATGGATATTTCTCTTGAGTTGATTAAAAAGCAAGATTTACAGAGATCAGTAAAACTCCAAAATTTTAAGGAAAGTGGTTTTAAGCGCTCAAAAGATATCATTTGTGAATGACCCTCTAGATCAATTAATTCAATAAATTGATAATCAATAGAACAACATGCTTCCGAGTCTCTAACGTGCTTGTTGTCTCCAAGTACATTATCATGACGTGTTTTGTGGGATAACCCAACAAATACGTAGACAGCAGAGAAAATCCTTCAATTAAAAATTTATAATACAATTTCGTCTGTAATTTCCGTATGCGCTGCAATCTCAAATATCTCAACTGATTTATAAATACAGTTTCAAGTTTGCGAGAACAAAGAAATTGTTGACAAAACGTAGCTCTTGACTGATGATAATAAGACAGTTTCACGGTCTCTCCAACCTTATTTTCTTATCTTAAGCAAATAAACATAACATCGTGTGATATAAAGTTCATAAATTTATCGTTTCTATGACGTCATTTTATATTGAATTAAATTCACTTTGGATAAATTGCGACCTTGAATAAACCGCTAACTGACATACGAACTGACGGTATGTTCAAAATGTAAAGCATGTTGTATAAATTATCGTACAAGAAAAAGTTTTAATTAAATTTACCTCCGAAAAAAAGAAAGCCTTAATGAAGAGGATAAAAAAAAGGGAAAGAAAAATTATGCTCATGTACATCCACATTGTAGCTTATTTTTCATGCACTGTATATAGACAGAGAGCAATATGGAAAGTCATTTGCCATTGTAGACTAGTTTTATTATTACTATAGCTATTGTGGGAAAACGATCAGTATTTAATTGACAGAATGACTGGATTATGCATCAATATCTGTGTATTCAATTTATAGCGCAAATCCTCACATAAAATTGAAACCGTATAATCTTTCTGAATGAACTGTGTTTGTACTACTTTAGTGATGATAGTCTGCGTCTATAGACGATTAGTGAATGATTTTAATTGTTTAATCTTGTCGGAATTAACTTAGAGGAAGTGAATTAACTGATATTAGCTCTATATTTGTTTATTGTCATTTCGATTGAAAATAGGTTTTAGAAACTATACGACAGCATTTGTGTGGCAAGCTGCTAAAGTGCTCGTGTTGGATTTTGTATTTAAAAGCCTAGTCTATAAACTTCGAACTCTGCTTGCTTGGTACTATTTGTATATCAACTTCATAGATTATCCCCTCATCCCCCTTCTAATCCATTGTGTTATTACTCAAGAGTTTAACTCATTTCTATTGGCTTTAAAACTTAAAAGTAAAGGAAAAGCATTGGAAATTGTTTAAATACCGCAAAATAATGTCAGTGAATTGACTTATTGAGCAAGACATAGTTAAAAGCGCTTCAATCATCCACCTCCGGTGATTTCTCTCATCAATTTTCGTTCGCACATTCAATATTTCACGAACATTTGCTTTTTATTGTTCCACTTTGGAATTTAAATCATTTTTAACCAATTAATGCCTTAAAAAAAGTAAATTATTTCTACTGTTTCGATATTATTGGAGAAATATTAATTATATCTCTATCATTTCTATCCATGGTGGCAATGAAAACCAGAAAATTGCGGTTGGAATTTAAAGCTGTGAATTAGTTTCATGGAGCAGTCGTCATGCTTCATTAATAATATCGTGATAGATTTTTTTTTTATTTTTTTAAGTTGTAATCTTCACTGATAATTTTTAAGGGCTTATTCAATAATCACGTCTAATATTTAAGGATTAAAATTGTGTGACATCGTTAAAGTCTATAGTCTATAGTCAGGATCAGTGTTGCAAATGTAGATGTCTACACTAGATGAAGAATGTAGATTCTTCAATAGTTTTTGTCTGAGACAGAAATTTCTTCATAAAGATCGATTCTATATGAAGATAGAAAATCTAATCTACACAAAGATTATTTCTGCATAAAGATTCTGTCTACATAAAGATTCGATGCAGAGGTCTACATCAGAGAAGAATCTGTCTACATAAAGATTCGATGTAGATGTCTACAAATCTACATTTTTTCCAGGTCTACATCAGAGAAGAATGTAGAATTGTAGACATCTACATCGAATCTTTATGTAGACAGATTCTTTATGTAGAAATAATCTTTGTGTAGATTAGATTTTCTATCTTCATATAGAATCGATCTTTATGAAGAAATTTCTGTCTCAGAATTTATCTGATCTAGACAAATGGCCAGAATGCAACACTGGTCTGGATACAGGAAAAAGATAGACATCACATGTGCATCCCATTAGAGAATAAATAAAATATTTCGTGATAAGAAAAACAACTTAAATAGGATCATTGAAGCAAATTGCACTTGAATGCCATTAGGTCGTACAAATATTCGCCTCAATAATTTTGTGTGTGCGGCATTCAACTGTTCTATCATATTGATACATCACTCAATGTAAAAGAACATATAAAAAAAACTTTTTCGTGTTCTATCGATTATTTTGCGCTTTCAGTGAAATGAAATTCTGATTTTGATTTGCTTGCTGCTGTGGAACGTCATTTTAAATAAAGAAAAGTTTGTCAGAAATTTAAATATTGTTTTTTGTAACTTCCTTAAATATGAGATTATCGCTTTTGAAAAAAGCCTGCGATAAGCACAACTCTTTTAAACAATGAAAAATCATTCATTCCAATTTCTCCTTCTCTCTTCTTCTTGAAAAGTCTCTTATCAATTTGACATGCAAACTGCCGTTCTATTTTCAGTGAGAATACAAACTTTTTTTTTCTTTTCATTTCTATTTTAGCGCCTTACTCAATAATCAATTACATAAGAATACAGTTTGATTTGGAACTATGAAGCGCCTACGATGGGAATTTTTGTACATTTCAACACAGTTTGACTTATGAGGTGATTTTTGTTGACTGATCGTCGTCGCAGCATTTCGTAATTTTCACTGATTCCTACAAATAACTTGTAATAGTCGTAGCATTAAAGCGCATTTTCTGAACACTGCAATCTACGACATCGGAAAACAATTTAATTTTTTTTGCCTTAATAATCTCTTGTCACAAATTGATTAGTATTATGAGATTTTCACACATTATTGATATCACGTGCCGATCCTAAATATTAAGTCGCACGTGATCAACCCTCAAGAGCTGTATGCAAGTATTTACATAGCGCTAGAATGAATGATCAGAACCGACGTAGATCCAATTGATATCAGTGCTCATTGTCATATTTTCATGTCTAAAATAGTGGTAAAAAGATCTAGATCAGAATTTGTATGCTTAAAAATAACTTAGCACACAACATTAAAAACTATTATTCCTACTGAGCCTGCAAAACGCGCTTTATGGACGTTGTTTACAATTATTTCTGATGACTCTTTCTGTTAAAACGACCCATAAATTACCAATTAATAAAATAAAGTATATGCGAAAATGTTAACACCTTCACACATTACCGAAAAGGGCAAGAAAGGTAGCAGTAGCATTTATAAATGTAAAATAATGAAGGAAAATTTTCCATGTGTTAATATAAAGAAGAGAAATTAGAGTTTAATTGAGAAATCAGGTACAACTAATTTGTGATTTATGTACGAATGGATTTTTAATGCTAAATATCATTGATTGCCAGTCTTATCACGTCTCTAATTTTTTTTATGGACATTAATGTCTTTGCCATGAAAAGCGTCATTATTTAGACAGTTTGTTTTTCACAAAATAAATGAAATTATCAAGTTCACGAATGAGCAAGAACAGAAAATAATGAAGAATCTTGTAAGTGTCGTTGTGATTTTTGGTACGCATTTTTTGATAACGTCCGTATCACTTTGACAAACTGATTCATGTCCTAATATCTCAGCACTTAGACTGAGTGGCTGCTGACTTACAAATAATTTTGCAGAATGTCAATCTTTTAGCACTCGAAATTTACCGTTAATATATGATAAGCATGTAACATAAAATTATGAGTCACTAATATAAATTGATTGCAATGCAATTCAGCAGAAACTTGAAACGCCCGAAATAAATAATTTTGTACTAGATGAAGCACATTCACATGATTCTCGACAAGTTTTAAACTTAAACTGATGATTCATTAAATCTTTTGTTGTGAGATTCAGATCAATTCAGATCAAGGCAAACAATCTGTACTATCTCATTTTTAAGTAGATTGCAAAATTATCACAAATCAGTCATGAGCTCATAAAATCGCACATAATGCCTCGAAGTCAGACAAAATGATAAAGTACAATAGTACACGATTTTCGCACAAAACACTGAACGACCGCATTAATGTGGTAGAAATGATAGCGAGACGATGATGTTGCCGTATTATTAAGAAAATGAAATGAAATGAAGCATCTTAGAAGAGATAGAGAGAGAGCGATGTTGTAACGGTATAATTAAATTATTATCAATAGCACTTGATGATGGCAAGCAAGCGACTATTAAAAGTGTATATAAATTGTAGCTGACGATAACAGTTTTTCCTATGCACACTTTTGTTTAGCTTTCATTATGATCAGCATGTAAACATTCTTGATACAAAAAACCAACTATAATATTGAATTCTAACAGGAACACATTTATCCAATTTTCTATGGTATTTTTGGAGTAGTCTAATAAATATTTATTCATTCATAACATTGGTTCATTCACTTTTTCGTTCGTAGTTCGTTCGTTGGAACTAGAACAAAATGTTGATCGGAAGAAAACAATATAAAGTATAGTACTCAATTGTATGTACTTATGTATCTCATAAGATTCAGATTCTTTGCATCATTAACTTTCTTAACTGATTGATATGTGTAGAATGAGAATAATCATTGAAGACAACTAGAAAGACGACAATTTTATTTTTGTCCGTTGGCTTTTTTACTCTCTTTTCTCTGTTTATTTTATAATTTTCTTCTTGTTCCATGACAAAATCGTACATACAGACGAGAAACATGAGAGATTCATTCTCAGGAATTGTCATTTTCAGAATGCGATGACTCAGAAACACACTTAATGATTATTATGCTTTAATTCAAAGTCGGACATTTGTAGAGAATTTATATAGCAGCTAGCCTTCCAAAAAAAAAAACGTCATCAAATACTAAAATATTGTTTGCATTTCTCTTCTTCCTACTAGCTAGTTTTTCATTACACATTTTTTCGTCGTCGTCCGTCGACAAAGTCTTGAAGGAAATGCTATTTTTAAATAATAAACACAGCAAATTGTCGGACAAATTCAGCTTTTTCTTAGAAATTTATTACTTTTCCACTATTTTTTATGCTGTACACTATTCCACTATTTACGCGACTAGCTTTTTATTCAAAACGAAAACTTCATTGAAATTCCGGAAAGACATACAGGCATTTATTTCAATTCTAATTTATTCACATTTGTATGAATTCCCCGAAAATCTTTACTGGAACTACTCCTTCTTTTCAATTTATTACAATTTTTCTATGCACGTCCATATATCCATAATCATCATATTATTATAGGTTTAATAATGAACATATTAAACATTCTATATAGCACACACATGATTCACTTGCATAACTTATGATAAAATTTTTTTTAATTTTTTTGCTGATTTTTCAATAAAATGAGAATTTTTATTTCTTATTCCACTTTTTTACGCTTTGTATGAGACTTTCTTGGTGTTTTATCAATGCACAATATTAGATAGCACACTTATCCTTAGATATTTTATCGATAAATTTATTAATAACTACCTTATAATATTGTTTAATTAATTTTTAAATTTTTTCGAAACAACTATACACTCCACATACCGAGAGTTAGCATCATTGCCAGTTTTTCCTCGAATATTAAGTTCAAAATTGGAATTACTCAGTCTCAATATGATATAACTCCCTTCAAAGTTAACTTTCAATGCTTTTGTTCAGTGTTGCAAATGTCAGATTCTTCAATAGTTTTTGTCTAGCTAAGAACCACTAAGAACCTTTCTTCATAAAGATCGATTCTACATGAAGATAGAAAATCTAATCTACACAAAGATTATTTCTACATAAAGAATCTGTCTACATAAAGATTCGATGTAGATGTCTACAATTCTACATTTTTTCCAGGTCTACATCAGAGAAGAATGTAGAATTGTAGACATCTACATCGAATCTTTATGTAGACAGATTCTTTGTGGAGATTAGATTTTCTATCTTCATATAAAATCGATCTTTATGAAGAAATTTCTGTCTCAGAATTTATCTGATCTAGACAAATTGCCAAAATGCAACACTGCTTTTGTTCCTTTATGCTTAAAACAACTGGATAAACATAAATCACAAAATATATATAACGGTTTTTTATATTCAAAATTTAAATTTATTGGCTAATCCAATATCAATTGTGTGCACATTAAAGAACGAAAAGTTAATTAAAATATTTTAAAATAAGAATTTATGAAAACAAAAATATGCTTAAATACCTTAAAAATAGCTGCTACCAACTGCAAAATACTAGAAATTTCCAAATCTTTTCAATGCGTTGAAAAACATAATAGCACACTATGGAGCTATTACATTTTAACATTGGATATCTCAAAAGTTCAAATTTACTTTAATGCTGTTTAATCATTTTTAAGGATTACATGAATGTTAATTATGCTTTAATTGAGTTGGTTTTAAGTAAACACTAACGATCAGCACATAAAATGCTTAAAAAATAGTAAGTAATGTTAAAAGCGTAACGGTTTATTGAAATTCAAATAAGCTCATTGCAATTGAAAAATAAAATTTATAAAAAAATGTTAATAATTTAGTTTTTGAGCCATTAGAGGTGTTTATGCTGGATCACAAGAGTTTAATCTAATTAAAGGCAGTCTATAGACCTCGAGTATTGTGCTCAATACCCGAGAAAATGTTGAAAAACAATCCAAATACGAGAAAGAAGATGCAGGCAAGTTTTTCTTCTTATGAACTTTGTATACATAATTTAATTCAATCATAAAAACCTATAAGAACTAACTTAATGATTAATTGTGTGACTAATTCTATTGATTTATCATAATTAGGTATCGTTTGTGGTTCGAGATGCTGAAGAGAAGCGTCATAAAAGAGGTGTGAATAGTTTACAACTGGATCACAATAATGGACGATTATTTAGCTGTGGACGAGATGCGATAATTAGAATATGGAATACAAATCAAGTGAATATGGATAATTCTTATATACAATCATTAGAACATCATAATGATTGGGTGAATGATATAGTTCTCTGCTGTGGAGGACGTAATTTAATTAGTGCTAGTTGTGATACAACTGTTAAAGTCTGGAATGCTCATAAAGGCTTCTGTATGTCAACTCTTCGTACCCATCGAGATTATGTGCAGGCATTGGCTTATGCAAAAGATCGTGAACAAGTTGCCAGTGCTGGATTGGACAAACAAATTTTCTTATGGGATGTTAATACATTGACGGCATTAACTGCAAGTAATAATACAGTAACAAGTAAGTATGTATATTATTGACTTTCATCATTAATCAAGTTCATTTCATATTTAGCTTCATCATTAACTGGATCAAAACATTCAATTTATGGATTAGCGATTAACAATTCTGGGACGATTATTGCAAGTGGAAGTACTGAAGCTGTAATAAGATGTTGGGATCCACGGACGTGTAATAGACTAATTAAGTTAAAAGGTCATACAGAAAACATAAAATCATTAGTAATATCAAGTGATGGAAGTCATATCCTTAGCGGAAGTAGTGATGGAACAATCAAATTGTGGAGTGTAGGACAACAGAGATGTATTCAAACAATTCAAGTTCATACTGAAGGAGTTTGGTGTCTATTAGTCAATGAAACGTTCACTCATGTTATATCCGGAAGTCGTGATAAGAAAGTTTTTATGACTGAAATTAGAAATCCATACAATTCTGTCTTAGTTTGTGAAGAAAAGGCTCCAGTTTTGAAAATGTGCTATAATATAGACTATTCGGGAATTTGGACAACAACTTGGAATTCGGATATAAAAATGTGGAAGCTTCCAAAAGCCGATAAGATATCTAATCAAAAGAACTCCTCAAATTTATCGCTCAATGAGCAGCAGCCAGTAGTTCCAGTTAATACAAATGAGGAGAAGTTAATTAAGGGTGGTGCAGCAGTAGAAAAGTATGTCGTGCTCAACGACAAGCGTTTTATGGTGACTCGTGATACTGATCAAAATGTGGCCATTTATGATGTTTTGAAGGCAGTAAAGGTTGAAAGTCTCGGCAAAATTGACTTTGATGAAGTCGTTAAATCTCGCAACAAAATGGTTTACGTTCCAAATTGGTTTACAGTCGACCTTAAAACGGGGGTAAGAATCTCGTGAAAATTGATTATTGTGCTCGATTAAGTTCTTACTGTATTATATTTTATTATTGTAGATGCCAACAATAGTTTTAGGACAAGACGAAGTTGATTGTTTTGCGGCGTGGGTTTCTGCGACAGAAGCAGGCTTGGGTGTTGGACAAACAGAAAATGGATCTGATCCAAAAGTTAATTATGGTAGTCTTTTATTGCAAGCACTCTTAGAATATTGGCCACAACCTATGGTCGAAATTGATAATGACATTCGTGGAAATGAATATTTCAAAGTTCCAAAACATACGCCAATTTTATTTAGGTAAGCAAATAAATCATTTCATAATTTTGGACATGCCATAAGTTAATCTGTCTAATTGTAGTGAGGTTGGTGGTCGAACAGGCTGTAGATTATTAGTAAGAGACGCAGCAGGAGATACAGAATCACAGCTATTGCATGAAGCAGTTCCATCATGGGTTGCAGACGTTGTGATCGATCGAAACATTCCACGATTTATCAAGATTCCATTCTTCCTACTTCCTCATCCATTAATGGTCAAACAAGATCGAATGAAAAAAGTAAGCAGCTATTTTCTTTCCATCATGAAATGATTTATAATAATTATTCATTTCTATTTTTAGGATCGATTAATTGCCAATGAGTTCATTCAGTGCCGTAAAGTATGTGAACATGTTCTTGACAAGATTCTCATGGAAAATCCAGCTCCAACGGGCGTTAATTCTTCACAAAATAACAGCGATACAAGCGAAGGCTCACAAATTCCAGCCGAAGATAAAATTGAATTATTATGCAATGAAATTGTTTGTGATCCATCAATGGATCTGCGGACAGTTAAACATTTTATTTGGAAACAATCGAGCGATTTAACGTTTTATTACAAGACGAAGCCAAACTTTAGTTAAGATGATAGTCAGTCATTTCACATACATTAAATTAATGAATTTAGGATTCATTTTGTCTTAAACAATTCGCCTCAATAATAATTATAATATAATTAATTTAAATATAACAAGCCCCTTTTTCACAGAAACCTACCTACCTATGTCATGTACATTTTATGTTCTTTAACTTAATTATTTTTGAATTCGACAAATTATTATGCATTTATTAAATGAATATTGAACAAAAAAAAAGAAAAGAAATCAAAAACACAATGGATAGGCATTAAACACAATAGAAATAGGATGAAAACTGAAAATTTAAGTTTGGGAAGATCATGTATTTCCAAAAATCTTGCGTCTTTATTTATTTTTGTGATATATAGTAAAGATTATAATCTATTAAATAATGTAATAAATAAACATTAATGAACTATTTAGAAAATGACATAATATGCCTTTTAATCCTTTATTTCAGGATCCAGCAATATTTTTATAACAATAGCCGTTGTCAATTTTCTGATTTTTTGAAGGTACGGTTTAGAGAGGAGTAACTGTATTGTTTTTGTTGAGGAAAAATAATTGTCAAATCAAAAATCGCTTAATTTCAAAGATTTAAATACTTACAGCAACGGTTTAATAATGGCTTGTTCCGTCGCTATAATCTCAAAAGATGTAAGATGAATTTAATTAATAAAACCTGTAATTCATGTGTAAATTAGTAATAGTTCCGAAAAACAATTTTTTGCTTGAAAGTTTTATCATCCAGTGCTTTATATCCGATTTATGCAGTTTTTCAATAACTTTATATCCTGGAATTCGATTAAGACTGTTAATTCCATTTTAAAATAATATAGAAGTTGCTAGTGTATTTTCCTCGCGTGGATCTGTAGATTGAGATTAAAGTAATATTCAGAACCAAAAACATTGATCCAGCTGGATATCAATCATGTCCGCAACTAAAACCTAAATTCCGTAGACCTCCTTCATAAAGATCCAGTAGGACCTAAGTCTTATATGGAGCTATAAAGTAAAATTCAGGAGGATATAAGTCACCCAGACTTAAACCATCCTGTATCGTGTACTAGTCTTACTTCCGATTCGAATTATTTTTAAAAGACGAAGTTTAAGTCGTTTAAACTTTTACCGAGTTAAATTTGATGACAATGTACCCAAAAATTGATGCTGCTATAGCTCGTCAAGGAAGGGTTGACGAAATTGTGAATTGTTTGTTTAGGAACCAAATAAGCAAGATGAGATCAATAAATTTTATTGAATTCCAGAACATCCAGCATAAATCACAACATAAAATTCCATTTGTTTAATTTCTTTTATGATCCATAAATATTCATTAATTTCATTTCATCTAGAATTCTCCATTGTACGTATTAGCAGCTGATATTGAAAAGGAGATTGAATTGCAATATTGCTTCCATTCAGCACTTGATATTGTTGAAGAAAAATCGAATACAGCAAACAAAAATCCTGACACAAGAGATTTATTCTTAGGACTTTTGTATGCTACGGAACTATATAAAATTTATGGCTATATGACGAACACAAAAATCAAGTTCATACTAATTGTCGACTCACTGAACAGTGCTTTTCGAGAGAATGAGATACGCGCAATGTTCAGAAGTATACACATCGAATATGTAAACTATATTTCCAATCCTTTCATCATTCCTAATGAGCAAATATTCTCAAAGTAAGTGTGTTTATTGATTAATTGATTAAGGAACAACAAAAGATTTCTAAAAATATACTTTCCATTTCTCAGAACATTCGATAGAAATATTCGGAATATCTGCAAAGTGTAAATCAACAGCTACTTTTTTTTCTCATCGCAATAAAGAAATGAAGACTTGGGAGTTGAGTTTACTATAACGAGATTTGGATGGATGATTATCATGATTATTTAAAAATGTCTATCAACATCCAGTTGTTCACAGTATTCTGGACATCAAGTGTCTAGATATAAATTCATCGAAAGGATAAAATCCAATCCGTTCTAGTGAAGTCGACTCTAAATAACATTATAAATTAAATGATCATCAAAGGCATGCATTAAATTAAATCTGACTTTAAAATGGCAAGAATAAGAATGTATAAAAGGAAATAAAAGTTTATGTATTGTAAAACCCGCTAAAAAAAATTATGAAAATGAACAATTATTTGAAGCTGTACTTGTCGAAAGGAAAATCATAATATTTATCTCTATTTTGCCATGCGATACAGCACACATAGTAACAAGTACGCATGTCTATTGAGAGAGCTTTAAAAGCACCACATGGCACGAATATCCTTTTTACCATTCAATTGTTTGTTATTTGCTCACGAGAATTCTCGAAACGTGTGTAACATTTTTTTTGTGCTAGCTGCCTTCTTCCTTTCTTCATTCTCATCATCAATAAGTAGTAGGTTTCATCTAATCCACAAATTCAGTACGAGTTTGAATTTCGAAGTGGACGGTTGTGGCATAGGAAGAATAAAATAAAAATTATTATCGTATATTCATTAAAAAGAAGAAGAAAATTGATAGGAAAGAGAAGTGAGAGAGCTTTTAATGGATCTCAAATAATATTTATTGATACAGAAGGATAAAAATATTTATATTCCTTTAATGTGTAAGCGTAAGCATGTATTATAAATAAACAACGGTCTTTTTGATCTTTAGTGAACTGTGAAAAAAGAGGAATTAATAAAATGTGCTTGTGAAAGGGTGAAAATTATAGTAAAGGAATGAGAAGAGAAAAAAAATAATCGATGAATAGAATGCTTCTTATACACATCTATACATACATGTACTGACTGTCGTGGTGCTTTAGTATCATGTGAACAATAAAAAAACTTTTTCTTTCGTTCAGCATAATCGAATTGTGAAAAAGCTCTTAAAAATAGGCTCAAATAAGTCAAGAAATGTCTGTCGATGAAGCTATAACAGCAGCATAATTCGGTATATTCAGGAGAAGAAAAAAAAAAGCATTCGACCTACTTTCCTTTGTCATCATTGATTTCTCACCCTCAAAAAAATGAGACAAACGGAACAACAACAAAAAATTCTTGCCTCCTACTTCCACATAAAGTTTATGTTTTCTTTTTGCCTCCTCCCTGCTTCCGCTTAAGGATGATGTTAAACATGAGAGTGGAAGTACGAGAAGAATTATTACTATTTATGAAAAATTACATTTCGTAAAGAGCGTGTATGGGAATTAAGTAATTCTCTTGAGCTTTTGGCATGAAGACACACACGCATAAGTTTCCGACTCAAACTTCTTTATGGAACTGAAAAAAACCACTGAGGATTTTCATCCCACCCACACACGCACACACACTCTGTCTCTATCTCTAAAGAATTAGTGGATCTTAAATGTTAAATATCTTACTCAACTCTTATTGTTGTGCATGCTATGCATACATTCATGTATAATTATCTTCCATAGTCATTATGACAGTTGGAACTTCTCTAACTTTATTCCTAAGAGTATTTTATTTTTTGATGACTTTCGGAATTGAAAAGAATGTCAGAATTTATTTGAAAGAAAATTTTGAGGAATGATTAATAGGATTTAAATTGACTGTTGTGTCATTTTACTGCTGAATGCTGTAAATTGTGCTTTTTATTTTGTGGAAGTGAAAACGAATATCTCGATGGATTTATGAAAAGAACTAACTGAGATTGACAACTGAATGTTGCATTTATTTTTTGTTCACTTTATAAATACTAGCGACGTTCATATTGTTATGCACTAGTTTGATTATGTTTGGTCGCAACTTCTTTTAACAAATGAATTTTCAATCCTTTTCAACCACTAGCATAGATTTAAGATTCGACAACTAGTCTGCATTCAAGTATGCTTTAATGTTGTGGTTCTCAGACATCCTAAAACAGAGGTTGATATTTTATTTGGTTCGGTACCTGAGTAGTGCGAATTAAGTGTGTTGTAGACACAGCAATATGCCATTTGTTCTAATAAACTTCATAAAGGCATCGTTCACTTATGACGTCCGAAATTAATGGTCATTTTTCAAAAAAAGAACAATGGATTTCCAGGAATTTCTATTGTTCTTTTCTTGCTACCCCCCCCCCCCCCCCCCCCCCTGGACCCCAAATTCATACAAATTTTTTCAAGACCTTATACACATTTTGTATAAATTCATGTCTAGATGTCTTTTTGAACCAAATATTAGGCTCGGAAGGATGACATTTATTTATTGAATGACAATTTCGGCATGATTTGCATAGAACAAGCACTTTGTGACAGAGCATTTAACCCATATTTTCCAATAAATCTCTCCTAAGCTCGTTTTAATTTTGACAAAAAATTCAATGAACGCTTTTTTTTCGACGATTCCAATTAAACGCGATGTCATGCTTGACGGGATTTCCTTCAAGAATTGAGATAGATAGAGTGAAAATAGAACGAAGAAAGTTCACCATTATATAAATAAATTGAGTTTAATTTATCTTACATAAAAAGTTCACTCTATGAATGAAGAGAATAAGAAAGAGACGTCGCATTATATGATAATTGAAATAGCAGTAAAAGAACTGATTTTTTTCCATTAAAATTCCAATGAACTTTTCGAAAAGAATATTTATTGTGATTTTCTCATCCTCTAAACTGCTTTTATCGATCCGTAAATAAATTGTCAAATGATGAAGGAATGAAAATTCAATTTTTTCTACTTTATTAGGAAAAATAGACTGGACAAAAGAAAAGCAAGTATCAAAAAGACTCAGCAGTAAGACATAGTAAAATTAAATAATTGAAAGATGTGAAAGATCAACAAGAACTGAGGGAGGTTTATATGAGCTTACAGTTTCATTTTTGCTATGACACATTTACAGGGCTGGAAAAGGCTTTTATCAAGGCGTGGAAACTATCCCAAATATCATATTTATCCCACATATCCCAAAAATATTCAAAAAATTCCAGAACATGTATGCACGATAATAAAGGGGCTAGATCAAAAATGAATTGTTCGTGACGCTTAACAATAATTTACAATTTTTAAATCAATAATGCGAAATATGTAATTAAGACTTGTGTTTTTCTTAAAGTCCTTGCCAAGACCTATATTTTGGTGTATAACAAGTATCTCTTAGACATTGTATTATAATTAAAAATAAATTTAAAGTGCTAAGCGTCACGAACAATTTTGAGGAAATTCGATTTTACACCATGTTGCAAATGTAATATCTCTGCGAATACTTCATTAATCATAACGATTTTTTCACCAGATAATTAAGTAATCAGATCATTAAAAGTTTTTTCTAAAATATACAAAATGGCGGCTTTGTAAGTTAGCTTAATTCAGCTTTAAAACGTTGAAGCTGAAATTTTGATATGAAGGAAATAGTTTAGGAACTATCTTTATTTACAAAATATGTTACATATGTAATTTTCTTTAAGTTTGTGAGAGAAAATTTTCAATTCTACTATAATTAACCAAGTTATGATGAGTTTTACAAAACTAGTCATAAGTCATTGCTGTGTTATTTGTCTACTGATTTTTTCATTTCAAACTATAGAATTCAACAATGTTTATAATATTGCAAAAGAAATATTACTTTTTGTTCAAGACAAGCAGAGAAAATTAAATTAAAGTAAAAAATTTGACCAAAAATTTTGTAACGGTTTTTAAAATTATAAATTTGTGAGCAAATAAGAGCAAAATTTGTTGCTCAACTTAAATTTCATTGTTTTTATTGTTAATTTAACTTACTTTTAAGCCTTTTTCGAATGTAAATTAAATAGTAAAAGACTCTTTAGATATCAAGTAATTGTTCTTGACCGATTAAAGTTAATAGTTTTGATTTAAAAATACATTTTACATTCAATTTGGTTTTCAGTTAATTTAACTAAAATAACTCATTTTTAATAAAATCTATTTTGATCATATGATAGAAAAAAGCAAGCTCTACAACTTTTGTCAAGCTTCCAAACATTTATCTTGCTTTCTTTTCAAAGAAAAATCGATTTCAAATATTAATTTGTTAATTAAACTAACTTAATAAGTCGCCATTTTGAAAAATGAATGTTAAAAAGAAACTTACTATTATTAGCTATCATGTAGTGAAGGAATCATATTAATTAAGTTATTAAAAGCAGAGAAATCTAAATTTGAATATTTATTCCCTTTTTTTCTGATCTTGCCCAAAGATATCCCAACGTGTCCTTAGTGTATTGGAAGTGTAATTTCAGGAAATGATGGGATATCTCAGTTCTAATGCATACAGGCTCATTTTGAATATTTTTGGGATATTTGGGATACATGAGACATTTGGGATAGTTTCCAGGCTTTGGCTTTTATGCTACATATTTTTCTTAATATTCTCAATTTGCTGTTTTGAAATTGAATAATTGCTGTATTAGATTTATACGGAATGGATTAAAACTGGAGCTTTATAGATTTTGCTCAAAGATTCAATTCTTAAATTTAAGACTTATCTTAACTGGGCAAGATCAAAAATGAATTGTTCGTGACGCTTAACAATAATTTACAATTTTTGAATCAATAATGCGAAATATGTATTTAAGACTTGTGTTTTTCTTAAAGTCCTTGCCAAGACCTATATTTTGGTGTATAACAAGTATCTCTTAGACATTGTATTATAATTAAAAATTAATTTAAAATGCTAAGCGTCACGAACAATTTTGAGGAAATTCGATTTTACACCATGTTGCAAATGTAATATCTCTGCGAATACTTCATTAATCATAACGATTTTTTCACCAGATAATTCAGTAATCAGATCATTAAAAGTTTTGTCTAAAATATACAAAATGGCGGATTTGTAAGTTAGCTTAATTCAGCTTTAAAATGTTGAAGCTGAAATTTTGATATGAAGGAAATAGTTTAGGAACTATCTTTCTTTAGGGTAATTCCATGAGTGAAAAAAATTTTGTTGCACCAATTTTTCAAAAATATTTCCTTAACTAAGGACTTTGTACTCCAAATTGTAACTTTATTATGTTTATTAACACAATATTTATCTCCATATGTGAGAATTTCACATCAGAAATATGTCTAATTTTTATTTTTTTAAAAAAAGTAAAATTAATCGGTCAAGTTTTCGAAAAATCGCTTTCTAAACATTTCCTAATATTTACTTAAATACACACTTCTATGTTCCAAAGTT